GTTGGACTAAGCCTCTGTGTCCTGCGCCTGACTCCTACACCACATCCACATCAGTTCCTGACAGACATCTACTCATTCAAGGGTTTTTCTTTATTTAGATTTTTTTTTTTACATTGTAGAATAATAGTGAAGACATCAAAACTATGAAATAACACATGAAATCATGTAGTAACCAAAAAAGTGTTAAACAAATCAAAATATATTTTATATTTGAGATTCTTCAAATAGCCACCCTTTGCCTTGATGACAGCTTTGCACATTCTTGGCATTCTCTCAACCAGCTTCACCTGGAATGCTTTTCCAACAGTCTTGAAGGAGTTCCCACATATGCTGAGCACTTGTTGGCTGCTTTTCCTTCACTCTGCCGTCCGACTCATCCCAAACCATCTCAATTGGGTTGAGGTCGGGGGATTGTGGAGGCCAGGTCATCTGATACAGCACTCCATCACTCTCCTTCTTGGTAAAATAGCCCTTACACAGCCTGGAGGTGTGTTGGGTTATTGTCCTGTTGAAAAACAAATTATAGTCCCACTAAGCCCAAACCAGATGGGATGGAGTATCACTGCAGAATGCTGTGGTAGCCATGCTGGTTAAGTGTGCCTTGAATTCTAAATAAATCACAGACAGTGTCACCAGCAAAGCACCCCTACACCATCACACCTCTTCCTCCATGCTTCACGGTGGGAACTACACATGCGGAGATCATCCGTTCACCCACACCGAGTCTCACAAAGACACAGCAGTTTGAACCAAAAATCTCCAATTTGAATTCCAGACCAAAGGACACATTTCCACCGGTCTAATGCAGGTTTCTTCTTCTTATTGGTGTCCTTTAGTAATGGTTTCTTTGCAGCAATTCGACCATGAAGGCCTGATTCACGCAGTCTCCTCTGAACAGTTGATGTTGATGTGTCTGTTACTTGAACTCTGTGAAGCATTTATTTGGGCTGCAAGTTCTGAGGCTGGAAACTCCAATGAACTTATCCTCTGCAGCAGAGGTAACTCTGGGTCTTCCATTCCTGTGGTGGTCCTCATGAGAGCCAGTTTCATCATAGTGCTTTATGTTTTTTGCGACTGCACTTGAAGAAACGTTCAAAAGTTCTTGAAATGTTCCGTATTGACCTTCATGTCTTAAAGTAATGATGGACTGTCATTTCTCTTTGCTTATTTGAGGTGTTCTTGCCATAATATGGACTTGGTCTTTTACCAAATAGGGCTATCTTCTGTGTACCCCCTCTACCTTGTCACAACACAACTGAATGGAGCAGCCCGCCTGGTTTTCAACCTTCCCAAGTTCTCTCATGTCACCCTGCTTCTCTGCCCACTCCACTGGCTTCAAGTTGAAGCTCGCATCCACTACAAGACCATGGTGCTTACCTACAGAACAGCAAGGTGAACTGCCCCTCCCTACCTTCAGGCTATGCTCAAACCCTACACCCCAACCTGAGCACTCCGTTCTGCCACCTCAGGTCTCTTGGCCCTTGCACCCCTACGGGAGGGCAGCTCCCGCTCAGCCCAGTTCAAGCTCTTCTCTGTCCTGGCACCCCCATGGTGGAACCAGCTTCCCCCTGAAGCTAGGACAGCAGAATAATCCTCCTCCTCACCTCGACCCTGATCACAGAAATAAAAACACTTAACCAGCACTTGCACTTGACCCCATGCCGACAACCCACTGACACTGACGTGTAATGTGAAGGGGTGTCCACATACTTTTGTGTATATTTATGTAATTGTCTTCTGTACTACTCTGAATGCTATGTGCTCATTATGGTTCATCTTTATTTCCCCTGATCCACACATTTACAAAATTTCCATTAAACCAATACAAAATGGATCCCTGGACTGCAGACATCTTTTTAATAGAATATTACGGACAACACTGTACAACCATCAAAATAGCATAATAATTCACAGCAATACTTGTCACAAACTCATATGACCCCCTTATAAGTATTATATACTTTTCAAAGTGGTAATTTGGGCCATGTCTTTTCCAAGACATGACCTGAAATGTCCTCACCCAGGGTGTCTTCTCAGTTTGGTCTGGGTAATGTTTTTGCTCAAACCACATAGATTTGTTAGATGTGTGTTCCAGGAAAGGGATCTGAGTGTATTTTTAGAGCTTTAATTAGTCTTGAACTCTTGGGGTAGTTACTGCAAACGGTGAAATGTCCCCTCACATTTACTTGCCACCACCCCCTCCTTGGCCCCAGACTATCCTTCTAGTGCGTTATCCCTTACTGAGCCCCCAGCTCCCCACCACACCCTGCACTAGACTGTAGTCATGTATTATTCTATTGCCACCGGAGCTTGAAACGGTGGTTTTTGGCACATTGTTGGCACTCAAGACATCTCAGGATGGTAAGTTGCTCTCTCTGCCTCGAACATTGTGCATGACTTGTTGCGTACCAAGAGATGCATAGGACTTTTTGGTGCTGTTGATAGGCTACTTGAAACCAGTGCGCAGTGCGTGGAGAGGGAGTGTTGCTAGAACTGCTTGTCAAAAAGAAAATCACATTTAATTTGACGCGATTGTTTACTATGTTGTTAAGTTTCACAAAACCATAGTTTTGCTTTCGAAGCGTAACGGCACAAGGGGTTTCACAACAGGTCTCAAACACGCAGTCTGTGTTTTGAAGGAAGTTGTTGCGCAATCGAGTCCTTGGCTCTGGCACACTTTGTGCGTGCTGCTGGATCTAGGACACGCGCTGTTTTGTTGTTCTTTTCAGGCATCAGTCTTGAAATGGCAGATTGTGAAATCAACATGATAGGTAAATCAAAGATTGCGCTTTTTAAATGATGAAGCACAGTGAGGGTTCCAACTCCCGTGTACGAATTAGTCAACTTTTTGCACCAAGTTGCGTCACACCCAAACAACAGTCTTGTTGACGCACAAGAGTAGACAAGACAATATATTAAAAAAGGTCAATCCAGAGTTCAAACAATAACAAAGGGCTACCCTGACTCTTGTTTTGGTAAACAACTGAGGGATGGGGTTTGAGAAATATATAAACACAAATGCATAGACAGAGCTGTGGATGCAAGGACTGACCATCCATGAGATCAAAATGGTAATTTTAACCATGTTTTGAAGCTATACAGTGTTTGTTTACATTGACTTTGTTTACAAACATTGGAGTAAAACAAGCTTATATTGTGGGATCTAATGGGGTACAACATTTTAACTAAGCGCATGAAACATTTATAAGTTATATTCTTCAAGAATCAATGGCTATTAATTTAACAGACCAGTAATTGATGTAGCAATTCCAGATTGGCCCTTTAAATGTGCTTGCAGAGCTATTTAATGCAGCTGGCCATGATGCATGAAGCTTATTGTGCTCCTTTTTGGATAGCTGTCAACAGACTGTCTATCCAAGCTGTTTTGTCTCAGCCAAAGTTACTTCCCTCACAGAAAACATTCATGGTATGATTAGAGGCAGTAGTTGAAGTTGATATGGGGCATCCAATACCTTTACTCCCCCTACAATTTAAATGACTGGGTTAACTGGTAGGTGTAGGAACCAGTCTATGTATTTTTGTGCTTGTGCTGCACCAACTCTTATGTAAATAACCTCAGTGACCTCACTCTGCATTATTGAGCATGTAGGTGTAGTAGGCCATTATCTCCTACTATTCTGTATATTGTAGCCTAAACTCAACACTGACTGAGTGATGGATTTAATGCTGCAGTATTTTCAGTCCAATAAATAACATTTCCCCAGGCATCTTTTCCATCCTAGTATTTGTAACTTTTTGTAAAACATTTGTTTGGCTAGTTTTTTGTAGTGTTTATTGTGAATAACTTGCTCATTCACTTACCAGGAGGTTTGAATGAGTAGTGATGAACGTTTTGCATTTAGACCTATAGGTCACCCTATACCATTCAGCATTATGTTTTCACTGTCCATGTGTGTTCCAAAGGCGTGCAGCTATTATTTCTCACAACAGCAAAAAAAACTACCCTACTTGGGCCTCAGTCAGCATATGTCCACAGAATTCCTATCTATAATATAAAGAGCCATCATGGGCCCCTGTAAAATCAACCCTGTACAGTGTCTGCAGTCTGTCAGCCCAGTCAATGTGGACGTTTGGAAACTGGATACAGGTGCCCTCCTGTAGCGGAGCCGAGGGCGCTGGATAGAGGGATTAAGAGGCTGTGTGACACTGACACTTCCACCAGATGGTGAGCTGAGCAGCATGCATGCCTGTATGTCAGAGCCCCAAATCTCAGCTCTGAGCTGTCTCTCACACTCACACACACACGTTTTACTATCCTTGTGGGGACCAAACCATTGATTCCCATTCAAAATCCTATTTTCCCTAAACCTAACCCTAATTCGAACCCCTAAAAATAAAATGGCATTTTTCTTGTGGGGACCGGCAAAAGAAAACACACACACAACGTCCTCAGAGACTTGGGGGTGGACAAGACACTAGGCCTGTGTCTACTCTGTCTCACTCTCACCTCTGCTTCTGGTCTGGTCTACAGCATCCCATATAGAGACTGTCAGAATAGATGTGTCTAGATGCTGAATGATGGATACTTTCACTGAAGTATCTGAGAAGAGAAGCATGCACAGAAATGTGTTGGCTGTTTAGTGTGGTGGATAGTATCTCTTACGTCATTGCCCTGATCTCTGACACACCCTGTAGAGACCGTCTCAGCTCAGAGCCCACCATGTATCATCATCACTGTGTTCAGAACCTGTTGTGATCATATGGACATGTAATATAAAAAAGGTTTGAAACACTAGTATCCCCCGACTTACACACACCCACAGACACACACACACTGTTCTGTGTCCTGCAGATTAGTGGTAACCCGATAAAGCCCTATGCGTGACCTAATGATACCATCACCTTCTGCACTCTGATCACCACTCAGTCATGACTAAACCTGCCAACACTACACAGTCTGTCCCATATCCTGCTGCACTCTGCTCAATCTGGACAGACAGAGTCCCCTAGGTCTGCTAACTACAGTCGTTCCTCTCTAGGTGTCCCCTGGTCCTCCCACTACTCAATGAGATGGCAAAAAATGGGGCAGACTGCGAGCTACCTCAGAGGCGCCTATCGGCCAAAGAAAAGCACAACATGCAGTATGCAGGTAGGGAGCGCTGAATGAACCACCATATGACCATGACCATAAAGTTAATGATTGTTATTGTTGACGTAACATACGGTGATGTAGGCCAAAGTATTTTTGTTCACCCTGACTGAAGAAAATAAAAACCTGCACAGTATCATTTGAGTTGATTTAAGCTACACCCTAGCAGTTCACACTGACTGACATGTCTTTAGAGGTGGTAGAGGTAAACCCCACTGTGTGTGTATGTGTTTGTGCAGACTCCTTGTCGCTGAGTGAGAGGAAGCAGAGGGACCGCGAGGAGCGTGGGTCTCTGGTGTTATGGAAGAAACCGCTCGTCACGCTACACTACTTCCTGCTGGAGCTGCGCATAACCCTGAAGGACTGGATGTGGGGGTGAGACACACTTCAGTCCTCGTCTCCATTTTGGAAGTGTTGAATGAGTGTTAAATGTTTTGGAATACAAAGTATCGATTAAGTGTTGAAATAGAAAGTACAGTTGAAGTCGGAAGTTTACATACACCTTAGCCAAATACATTTAAACTCAGTTTTTCACAATTCCTGACATTTAATCCTAGTACAAATTCCCTGTCTTAGGTCAGTTAGGATCATCACTTTATTTTAACAATGTGAAATGTAAGAATAATAGTAGAGAGAATTATTTATTTCAGCTTTTATTTATTTCATCACATTCCCAGTGGGTCAGAAGTTTACATACACTCAATTAGTATTTGGTAGCATTGCCTTCAAATTCTTTAACTTGGGTCAAACGTTTCGGGTAGCCTTCCACAAGCTTCCCACAATAAGTTGGGTGAATTTTGGCCCATTCCTCCTGACAGAGCTGGTGTAACTGAGTCAGGTTTGTAGGCCTCCTAGCTCGCACACGCTTTTTCAGTTCTGCCCACAAATGTTCTATAGGATTTAAGTCAGGGCTTTGTGATGGCCACTCCAATACCTTGACTTAGTTGTCCTTAAGCCATTTTGCCACAACTTTGGAAATATGCTTGGGGTCATTGTCCATTTGGAAGACCCATTTGCGACCAAGCTTTAACTTCCTGACTGATGTCTTGAGATGTTGCTTCAATATATCCACATAATTGACCTTCCTCATGATGCCATCTATTTTGTGAAGTGCACCAGTCCCTCCTGCAGCAAAGCACCCCCACAGCATGATGCTGCCACCCCCGTGCTTCACGGTTGGGATGGTGTTCTTCGGCTTGCAAGCATTCCCCTTTTTCCTCCAAACATAACGAGGAAAAAGGGGAATGCTTGCAAGCCGAAGAACACCATCCCAACCGTGAAGCACGGTTTTGTTTCATCAGACCAGAGGACATTCCTCCAAAAAGTACGATCTTTGTCCCCATGTGCAGTTGCAAACCGTAGTCTGGCTTTTTTATGGCGGTTTTGGAGCAGTGGCTTCTTCCTTGCTGAGCGGCCTTTCAGGTTATGTCGATATAGGACTAGTTTTACTGTGGATATAGATACTTTTGTACCGGTTTCCTCCAGCATCTTCAAGGCCCTTTGCTGTTGTTCTGGGATTGATTTGCACTTTTCGCACCAAAGTACGTTCGTCTCTAGGAGACAGAACACGTCTCCTTCCTGAGCGATATGACGGCTGCGTGGTCCCATGGTGTTTATACTTGCGTACTATTGTTTGTACAGGTGAACGTGGTACCTTCAGACGTTTGGAAATTGCTCCCAAGGATGAAACAGACTTGTGGAGGTCTACAATTTATATTCTGAGGTCTTGGCTGATTTCTTTTGATTTTCCCATGATGTCAAGCAAAGAGGCACTGAGTTTGAAGGTAGGCCTTGAAATACATCCACAGGTACACCTCCAATTGACTCAAATTATGTCAATTAGCCTATCAGAAGCTTCTAAAGCCATGACATCATTTTCTGGACTTTTCCAAGCTGTTTAAAGGCACAGTCAACTTAGTGTATGTGAACTTCTGACCCACTGGAATTGTGATACAGTGAAATAATCTGTCTGTAAACAATTGTTGGGAAAATTACTTGTGTCATGCACAAAGTAGATGTCCTAACCAACTTGCCAAAACTATAGTTTGTTAACAAGAAATTTGTGGAGTGGTTGAAAAACGAGTTTTAATGACTCCAACCTAAGTGTATGTAAACTTTCGACTTCAACTGTATATGTTTCTCAATGTAGAAACAGATGATATGTATTCATGAATCTCCCCAACACTGGGATCTATTGCACTATGACAGACTGAGCAAGTAAATGGTCCAGCTGGTGGTGTGTGTAGGAAGACACAGGTGGTCTGAGCCCACACACACCCTCCCTACTGCTGAGGTCATGTTATGGCAACCCAGCCACAGACTGACGTGGAGGCAGCAGGGTCAGAGTCTACAGTCTACACTGGAAGATAGAGGCTCTTTCTCAATTAGTCTTTCCTCTATTCCTCGCTGCCTCTGTCCTCGCCTCCTTCTCTAACTGCATTGGGGGAGAAGAGCCAATGTCCCTCCCTTCGGACCTTCTCCTTCAAAGTGTTTTGAGAAGGAGGTGAGGAGAAAGGACGTGCAGACAGGAGACCTTGACTGTCCCTGCTGCCCTCCTGGCTCTACAGTCAGACCAAACAACACAGGACCATTTATTAAAACAACAACGTAAGCAGGGAGTAGTTTTTGCCATTCATCTTCATTGATGTTGCTATGAAGGATGTCAATTAGATGCACTGCCCAATTTTCTTTTTTTTCCTTTAGTCCAGTTGATCAGAATTGTATTATTTGTGAGTTGAGTTGAATAATATTCCCACGCACTCCGTATCATTGCAGGCTCAATGTTGATGGTGATATGGAAGCGGTTTCTGATATGAATAACCTTGTCTCAAGGGTGATCCCAATGTTGTTTTCCTTTTTTTTTGTCACCTAATAGTCTGTTGACATAAGGGCCTTTTTAAAAAAGAGGTCATTGTGTACATTGAGCATCTTGTGGTTGTGCGTTTGAGGACAACATGTTTATTTTCTAAATGACAAGAGGATGTGGTAAACCACAAGCACTACAAAACAAGTAGTGTCCTGCCAGAGTAAGAGGCTGCTCAGTTCAGGATAGCGCAAGTTGTTTTCATAGCAAGTGGATTGCATGGTGAGAGAGAAGTGATTTATAATATATAAAACAGCTATGCATGATATACAGTATCAGTCAAAAGTTCAAGGGTTTTTCTTTATTTGTACTATTTTCTACATTGTAGAATAATAGTGAAGACATCAAAACTATGAAATAACACATATGGAATCATGTAGTAACCAACAAAGTGTTAAACAAATCAAAATATATTTTTGATTTGAGATTCTTCAAAGTAGCCACCCTTTGCCTTGACAGCTTTGCACACTCTTGGCATTCTCTCAACCAGCTTCATGAGGTAGTCACCTGGAATGCATTTCAATTAACAGGTGTGCCTTGTTAAAAGTTAATTTGTGGAATTTCTTTCCTTCTTAATGCGTTTGTGCCAATCAGTTGTGTTGTGACAAGGTAGGGGTGGTATACAGAATATTTACCAAATAGGGCTAAGACCAAGTCCATATTATGGCAAGAACAGCTCAAATAAACAAAGAGAAACGACAGTCCATTACTTTAAGACATGACTGTCAGTCAATCCAGAACATTAAGAACGTTTCTTCAAGTGCAGTCGCAAAAACCATCAAGCGCTATGATGAAACTGGCTCTCATGGAGGACCGCCACAGGAATGGAAGACCCAGAGTCACCTCTGCTGCAGAGGATAAGTTAATTAGTTACCAGCCTCAGAAATTGCAGCCCAAATAAATGCTTCACAGAGTTCAAGTAACAGACACATCAACAGTTCAGAGGAGACTGCGTGAATCAGGCCTTCATGGTCGAATTGCTGCAAAGAAACCATTACTAAAGGACACCAATAAGAAGAGACTTGCTTGGGCCAAGAAACATGAGCAATAGACATTAGACCAGTGGAGATTTTTGGTTCCAACCGCCGTGTCTTTGAGACGTGAAGTAGGTGAACGTATGATCTCCGCATGTGTGGTTCCCACCGGGAAGCATGGAGGACGAGGTGTGATGGTGCTTTGCTGGTGACACTGATTTATTTAGAATTCAAGGCACACTTAACCAGCATGGCTACCACAGCATTCTGCAGCAATACGCCATCCCATCTGGTTTGCGCTTATTGGGACTATCATTTGTTTTTCAACAGCACAATGACCCAACACACCAGGCTATGTAAGGGCTATTTGACCAAGAAGGAGAGTGATGGAGTGCTGCATCAGATCACCCAACCTCAACCCAATTGAGATGGTTTGGGATGAGTCCAGGTGAAGCTGTCATCAAGGCAAAGGTTGGCTACTTTGAAGAATCTCAAATATATTTATCTACAATGTAGAAAATAGTAAAAAATAAAAACCCTGAAATTAGTAGGTGTCCAAACTTTTGACTGGTACTGTAGGTTATAGCACAGATACTTATTTGTAGTATCTGTAAAGCTTTATAAGCAGGCATGTGGATACGAAGTTAGTGTTAGGGTAATGGCTAGGGTTGAGCTAGCATGTGGACATGAAGCAAGGGGTAGGATTAGGGTTGTGGTTGAGGCTAAGGTTGAGTCTGCATGTTGACATGAAGCCAGGGTTACTGTTAGGGTTGACTTTCAAATCATGAACAGAAAACCCCCCATAGGGTCAAAAGTGCACTGTAGTGCACTGTTGAGAATAAGGTGCCATTTGGGACGCAGAATGAGTGCCAGTCCTCATTACAGATGTAGGAGCTTAATTTGATCACACAGTTGCAGGAGAACCTTCCTGCAATGCAGGAAATGTCAAACTTGTGCGAATTTCCACTTAGACATTTCAGACTTGATTCTTCAAAAAAAGAAATAAAAAAATCCATTATAATCCACATTTCCTGTTGCGGCAGGATTATTTTCCTGCTGTAGCAAACTGGCTCAAATTAAGAAGCTATAATATCCTGTAATATCCTGGGACACTGAGATTAATGAGTGGGTGAAGAGAGGCGAGGAAGTGAGTATAAGGCCTTTAATATGGTTACCAGGGATCAGGGCCTTAAGTCCTCCAACAGCCCTTAAACACATTGGGATGGGATCAGCCTGCGTGCCAGCTCTACACCAGCCACCATCTGATCATCTTCCTTACCTCCTTTTCTTTCCATCCCTCCCCCTTATCCTCCCCACTTCCATCTTTGTCCTCTTCTTTCCCTCCCACTTGTTACAAAACCAATTAACTAGCCATCTAAGTTGGCTACACTTGTCATGTCTAGGGTTCCCAGGTCTAGCTACATGGTCTGTAATCTGATTTAATGTGTGCATCTATGAGAAACCAGTGTATGCAGACCTGTTGTATGCATGTGCCCAGCATAACGCAACCTTACCTAGATGGCGGCAGGTAGCTTAGTGGTTAAGAGCGTTGTGCCAGTAACCGAAAGGTCGCAGGTTCTAATCCCCGAGCCCACTAGGTGAAAAATCTGTCGATGTGCCCTTGAGCAAGGCACTTAACCCTAATTGCTCCTGTAAGTCGCTCTGGATAAGAGCGTCTGCTAAATGACCAATTATTTATTTATATTATTTATCCAGGGCCAGCTCCATTCTCACTCACATGGGTCAGCCAGCCCAAGCAGATTATTAGTTCAAAATAGTGACCAAAGTAAATATACACAAAAGGAAACTACAAAAAGGCATGTCCAAACTAAATAGATAACACAAAACAAACAAAGGCATACTTCTAGCCACCTCTCGCTCTCACAGATTGACAATCACCACTAATTGCCCACACTTGTGTGCTTATCAAGGCTTCCTGGCAGAGCATCTGACCCGGTTGCTGCTGCCCCCTGGGGATGGAGTGTGGAAATAGTAGTGTAGTGTCTAATGCTCCTAAGATCTAGTGAGAGCTGGCCTTTACTCTGACACGTAAAAAGGACAGAATAAAAACTGTTCAAAAGTACTTAATTTATTTAAAACTGCAGTAACAGAGCAAGTTAAACACATACAAAACTGGCAGCTAAAAACAGATGTGGCTCACCAATCCACTCCAAACTGCTTCTTTTTCCTTCTTCGGTATTATGGCAGTCCGCAAACAACCGTTAGAGGTGCATGCCGCCACCTCATGTATGGGTGGTAAACTATAGAAAAAAATATATTCATTGTAGGAAGGGGGGACAACATCATACAACATAGACATAAAACAAAAATTCCCACTCGTTCAGTCACATAACAATTCAAGTCGCATCCCTACACAGGCTCAGGGGCCTGTGACGGTGGAACATCCTTTGACAGGACTTCTTGCAAGGCCTCGGCTGTAAACTCAAAATGATTAAAATGCTCAGATTTCTTCTTTGTTTGTGCTGTACAGTTTATGACCATTGCAATAAATGCTACAAAGTCCACATGTAATATATCAGGATCCCTTGATTGCCGGGAAGCATTCACTGGTGCAGTCTCAATTACCATTGCGTCGTCAACACCACTCGCTCCTTCCACTCATCTCAATGCCTCCAGATAGGAGACACGCTGGACAGCCCTTATTCTCACCACCTGTCTCCTTCACCCTAACAGGGCATTCCGGGGCCACATATAACCTCAGCTGGCATACGATATTCTTCCTGTCTGCATACACTTGATACAAGCCCAAATCTTTTGCATTTATAACATTGGAGGGGCTTGTGCACAAAGGCTCTAACTGGGTATCTCATAAAGCCTAGCTTTACATGAAAGGGAGAGAACTATGAAAAAAACAATATGAACAAAGTGGGTTTCCTTACTCCATCCAGGTTAGTCGACATACACCAATCACTTCACCTACTTCCTCAGGTATATCATCTGCATCCATTTCATGCACAACCCCCGAGATAACCCCATTGACAGGCGCCCTTCGTCGGAAATCCATACACAATTTTCCATTTAAATCTTTGAGGCACAAAGCACACTTCTTTACTGCGGACAATTATTTATAAAAAAAACAAAAAACAGAATAAGACCAGCTCGTGACTCAACGACACCACCTGACCCAATGCATCCATGATATTCATTGTGACTTCAAACGGATCATTGATTCAAAATCATCACTCCGACTATAAAATAATGTAGGGATTTCTTAGTTTCTGTCACAACTTCACTTATTTTGTTTCCTTTTTTTTACACGACTGTAGCCGCTTCGACTAGACCATCTGTTTCCACCATCTTTTCCTCACTTGCTTCAAGGAGCTGTCTTCCTTCCACTACAAACATTCTGGCACACCCATTTTAACACGGCAGGTGACCTAGTTACTGAGCTGAAACACCTGTGTCAATTAACCACTTAATTAGCTGGACCTATAGAAAACAAGAAACACTTGACAATGAACACCAGCCTGCAATTGGTTGAAAGTGATGGGACAGGTCTAGAAACTGGAATGTTTGGTAAACCCACATACTACAGTTAACTATAGAATTCTATACTCCACACTGTAGGATCGCTCGATCGTGTAGTGCTTACTATAGACTTTTGTAGTATACTGTAGAATACTATACTACACACTGTACTATCCCTTGATCATGATTCATGTGTAGTACTTACTTAAAAATTGTGTATTATACTGTGGAATACTATACTACACACTGTAGTATCCCTCGATCATGTAGTGCTTACTTTATAATTTTGTAGTATAATGGAGAATACCATACTACACACTGTAGTATCCCCCTTGATCATGTAGTACTTACTATATAATTTTGTACTGAAGAATTCTATACTACACACTATAGTATCCCTCGATTGTGTAGTGCTTACTATAGAATTGTGTAGTATACTGGATAATTCTATACTACACACTGTAGTATCCCTCGATCGTGTAGTGCTTACTAAAATATTTTGTAGTATACTGTAGAATAATATACTACACACTGTAGTATCCTCCTTGATCGTAGTGCTTACTGTAGACTTTTGTAGTATATTGTAGAACACTGTACTACACACTGTAGTATCCCTTGATCGTGTAGTGCTTACTTTAGAATGTTGTAGTATACTATACTACACACTGTAGCATTCCTCGATCACATAGTGCTTACTTTAACATTTTATGATCGATTGGACCGCTAGCTAACTTTTCTGCTAGCTTTGTCGATGCTGTTTTGATTTGAACGCGCTGTCCTTGGGGAGCTCATGCAGGAGATTTCCTCTGAGTTTCCCCCTCGATCATGTAGCGCTTACTATAGAACGTTGTAGTATACTATACTCCACACTGTAGTATCCCTTGATTGATTGATTTTATAAGACCTATATAAAAACACAAATGTGGATACAATGCATTTAGACATTTGTCGAGAATAACACAAAAAAGGTTACATGTATTTCCATTGTGGTCCTAGTTCCAACATGTTACACATTGACAGCTAACCCAAATGAAAAATACTATAGTATACTATGGTCTAAATAAAAGTATACACTATAGTATTCACTGTATTGTTTTTGCAGACTTTACTGTAGTATTATTGCAGACATGACTGTAGTATACTGTAGTATTTAATGTAGTATTCTTGCACACATGACTGTAGTATCCTGCAGTATTTACTGTAGTGTTTTTGCGGACATGACTGTAGTATATTGTAGTAACACCTGCCGACTACGGTTAGCTAAAATGGCACAACTACACCTACTGTTTAATGAGGGGAACACCTCAACCAGAACATAAGACACAGGTTCGTGACATGCCACCTGGGCGCTGCCAATAAACTGCCTGGACCTCAAACCAGCAAAGCCTGTCCAAACAAACCAACTGAAAACAAAATAACATTATTGCAGTGGCTTTACATAATGAACATCTTGAATATTGTCACACATGAATAAACTCACTGATGGTCTATCTCAACACATACCATTCACGGCAATCAACCACACCCCAAACATAAACCAACAGCACCACCGTACAGCCTATACACACAAAGGACCTTCCCGGTACAAAGCTCTCACCTGAACATGACCAAGGGGTGCTTTTTGCATTTCCTGCATGTCCTACCCTAATAAGAGTGCCCAGGGAAACACTGACCAAAACTTTGGTTCCTAGCCTGTCACACAATATTATTCAGTTACAAGATTGTAACTGATTGAGTTTGGATCCTGGTTGTGAAGACGGTACAAACAATAGACGTTTTCATTCTTTTGGCGGTCTAGCACGACTGTACTGTGACTGTGGTCAACATGGCAGGTGCTTCAGGCGGTAGTGAAATCTATATTGATTGTGAAAATAATGAGAATTCCAGTGAGGATCAACCTTTTACATCTGTTGTAAGTAGGAAGAATAGAATGAAAAAGGATCGTAATGTGGGTGATTGAGGGCTGAATACAGTTGGGGAATTGAGTGGTGCTGAAAGTAGGACTGCTATACAACGTAGGAATTTTCTGGAAAAGGAGAATGTAGAAGAGAGCTACAAAGTTATGGTGGTTTTCCCTGAACCATCAAACAAACACGGTCATCCTATTCAGTTGACAAAAGCAATTCAGAGACAGATAGGGGTGATTAAGGATGCCAAAGTTTTGAGATTTGGCAAAGTATTGATTTATGCAAATAGAAAATGCAGCAGGAGAAGATTCTGTAGTTAGAATCTCTTAATGAGTGTCAGGTGAAATGCCATACTGAGGGGGGTAATTGCTGAGATACCATTGTCAGTAACCATGGAAGATGTTATGACTTCCTGAAAGGTATGAAAGTAACTGAAGCAAAAAGGATTATGAGTAAAAAGTGGCAGTCGAGTAGACACCACAACAGTACTTTTAAACTTTGAAGCGAAATTGCCAACCACAGTACAGCTAGGAATGCTACGTTATCATGTTAGAGAATATGTGCCACCTCCACTTCAGTGTTTTAAGTGCCAAAGGATGGGGCATGTTGCTAATGTGTGCAAAGGAACATTTAGATGTGCAGGGTGTGGTGGGGATCATGAGTATGGTAAATGTGGACCTGATACTAAAGTTAAGTGTTGCAACTGTAATGGTGAGCATAGTGCAGCATATGGGGAATGTGAAGTACCAAAACAAGCCATGGAAATGCAGGAGGTACAAAGTAAAGAATAATGCATCATATTCAGAGGCTGTTTGTGAAATGAACAAGCCTTTTGATCGAAATGCTGGCTCCAGTACATCAGCAGTCAGTGGTGGCTGCTTCTAGGATGACTATAGCGCCGGTGGGGCCCATGGAGCGTCAGCCTAGTGCCAATGTGACATGCGAGCATAAATGCTTGGTTACAGAGATATCCATGGTTGTAAATTAAGGAATACCTGGGATAGGATAAAGTAATCCTACCCCCCCCCCCCCCTAAAAAAAAAAAAAAAAAAAAAAAAAAAGATATTGTAAAGTGGTTATCCCACTGGCTATAGGGTGAATGCACCTATTTGTAAGTCGCTCTGGATAAGAGCGTCTGCTAAATGACGTAAATGTAAATGTAAATGTAAATCATATAGACTTCATGGCGTTCTTGTGTAGAGCAATCAATATGGGTCAGAAGAGGAGCAGGACTGCACGAATAATGGAAGTAATGAAGGCACCTCAAGAAATACTGAACATTACTGAAGTTTCAGTACCATTGATACATCGGATGTTGAATCATAATCCGAATGATGATCAGGAACAGAATAAGTCATTGTATTATGCTTTTTATCATCCTTCAATGGAATACTAGAAGCCTTATTGCTAATGGTCAAGAGTTTAAGAAATGTGTAATTGATTTAGAGATTAGAGAGATGTGTTCAAGAAACATGGCTTAGACCACATCTTGATTTTATTACTCCTGTTTATTGTTCAATCAGATCTGACAGAGCAACTGGTCAGGGTGGTGGATGCGCTACATTCATAAAGGAATGTCTTGCATATCGTAATATATCTGTTCCACCTAAGTATGAATGTGATGGTTGAAATCTACAGTACGGGTAGTAATATTAAGCAGTTCTACAATCCTTGTCGACAACTATGTATAGCGATGTTTGATGAAATATCAGAATACTTGGGTTCTAGAGAGATATGGTGTGGTGACTTTAATGCACATAATAGTTTATGGGGAAGCACACATACTGATGCTAATGGTATGATTGTCGAAGATATGATGGAAGCAAGAGCATTAGTATGTCTTAAGGATGGATGTGGTACAAGAATAGATGTTGTCAGAGGGGTTACATCCTGCCTGGACCTCACAATGGCTTCTAATGCTATTGCAGCCATATGTGAATGGAAGGTAACCGGCCTAAATGACTACAGACCCGTATCACTCACGTCTGTAGCCATGAAGTGCTTTGAAAGGCTGGTCATAGCTCACATCAACACCATTATCCCAGAAACCCTAGACCCAGTCCAATTTGCATACCGCCCCAATAGATCCACAGATGATGCAATCTCTATTGCACTCCACACTGCCCTTTCCAACCTGGACAAAAGGAACACCTACGTGAGAATGCTATTCATTGACTACAGCTCAGCATTCAACACCATAGTACCCTCAAAGCTCATCACTAAGCTAAGGACCCTGGGACTAAACACCTCCCTCTGCAACTGGATCCTGGACTTCCTGACGGGCCGCCCCCAGGTGGTAAGGGTAGGTAACAACACATCTGCCACGCTGATCCCCAACACGGGGGCCCCTCAGGGGTGCGTGCTCAGTCCCCTCCTGTACTCCATGTTCACCCATGACTGCATGGCCAGGCACGACTCCAACACTATCATTAAGTTTGCCGACGACACAACAGTGGTAGGCCTGATCACCGACAACGATGAGGCAGCCTATAGGGAGGAGGTCAGAGACCTGGCCGTGTGGTGCCAGGATAACAACCTCTTCCTCAACGTGATCAAGACAAAGGAGATGATTGTGGACTACAGGAAAAGGAGGACCAAGCACATCCCTTTTCTCATCGACAAGGCTGTAGTGGAGCAGGTTGAGAGCTTCAAGTTCCTTGGTGTCCACATCACCAACAAACTATCATGGTCCAAACACACCAAGACAGTCATGAAGAGGGCACGACAAAGCCTATTCCCCCTCAGGAGACTGAAAAGATTTGGCATAGGTCCTCAGATCCTCAAAAGGTTCTACAGCTGCACCATCGAGAGCATCCTGACTGGTTGTGTCACTGCCTGGTATGGCAACTGCTCAGCCTCCAACCGCAAGGCACTACAAGGGTAGTGCGTACAGCCCAGTACATCACTGGGGCCAAGCTTCCTGCCATCCAGGACCTCTATACCAGGCGGTGTCAGAGGAAGGCCCTAATGTACATATTACCTCAATTACCTCGAATAACCTGTGCCCCCGCACATTGACTCTGTACCGGTACCCCCTGTATATAGCCTCCCTACTGTTACTGCTGCTCTTTAATTATTTGTTATTTCTTTAAATGTTTTACTTATCTATTTTTTACTTAACACTTATTTTTCTTAAAACTGCATTGTTGGTGAAGGGCTTGTAAGTAAGAATTTCACTGTAAGGTCTACACCTGTTGTATTTGGCGAATGTGACAAATATAATTTGATTTGATTTGATTCTACTAATGGGAGTGATCATTTCCCAAAAATTTTTTTGTAACATGACCGGTGATGTCACTATTCCAGATAGGATACCATTCAGAAGATGATGCTTTCCTAATGCGGACTGGGAAAAGTTTGGAGGACATTGTTTAAAGTCTGTTGGATAGTGGTCTTTAGAGATGCCAGTTGATGTTTGTGCTGCCTCTCACTTCTCTGATTTTGAGTGCAGCAAACTTACATATACCAGTGAGTGAAGTGGGTGAGAAAAGAAAGGTGGTTCCTTGGTGGACTGAAGATTGTACTGCGGCTATTCAATAAATAAATAGGGCCTACAGAGTATTACGTAGGACTTTGACTCCTGAAAATCTAGTTGATTTCCAAAGGAAGAGAGCTTTGGTGTGCAGGGTCATTAAGTCTGCCAAGAGAAATGCATGGAGACAGTTCTGTTCTACAATAGGCAGGGGTACTGAGCTGGGAGATGTTTGGTCTATGTTGAAGAAGATGACTGGAAGAAGCAAAAGCACTCAAATTCTAGTTTTGGTTGATGGTGATTATCTGGCTGTATTAGATAAAGAAAAAGATGACATGTTGGGGAAGGCATTTGCTAATGTACATAGTGGGGTTACTTTGAACAAAGTGTCTAAGCAACGCAGGCATGCGATTTTAAATGCTCATACTAATGTGTATATGAAGAGGGATATTGTTGACTTGTCATTGGATCCTGATTTTACAATGCATGGAGGTGCGATTAGGCCTTATAGGCTGTGGATCTACAGTACATTCGGAAAGTATTCAGACCCCTTGACTTTTTCCACATTTTGTTATGTTACAGCCTTATTCTAAAATTGATTTAAAATTTTCAAAAATCTCATCAATTTACACAATACTCCATAATGACAAAACAAAAACTGGTTTTTAGAATTTTCTGCAAAAAATAAATAAATGAAATATCACATTTACATAAATATTCAGAGCCTTTACTCAGTACTTTGTTGATGCACCTTTGGCAGCGATTACAGCGTCGAGTCTTCTTGGGTATGACGCTACAAGCTTGGCACACCTGTATTTGTGGAGTTTCTCCCATTCTTCTCTGCAGATCCTCTCAAGCTCTGTCAGGTTGGATAGGGAGCGTCGCTGCACAGCTATTTTCAGGTCTCTCCAGAGATGTTCGATAGGGTTCAACTCCAGGCTCTGGCTGGGCCACTCAAGGACATTCCCGAAGCCACTCCTGCGTTGTCTTGGCTGTGTGCTTAGGGTCGTTGTCCTGTTGGAAGGTGAACCTTAACCCCAGTCTGAGGTCCTGAGCACTCTGGAGCAGGTTTTCATCAAGGATCTCTCTGTACTTTGCTCCGTTCATCTTTCCCTCGATCCTGATTAGTCTCCCAGTCCCTGCCTCTGAAAAACATCCCCACAGCATGATGCTGCCACCAACATGCTTCACCGTAGGGATGGTGCCAGGTTTCCTCCAGACGTGATGCTTGGCATTCAGGCCAAAGAGTTCAATCTTGGTTTCATCAGACCAGAGAATCTTGAGTCCTTTAGGTGCCTTTTGGCAAACTCCAAGCGGGCTGTCATGTGCCTTTTACTGAGGAGTGGCTTCCGTCTGGCCACTCTATCATTAAGGCCTGATTGGTGGAGTACTGCAGAGATGGTTGTCCTTCTGGAAGGTTCTCCCATCTCCACAGAGGAACTCCGGAGCTCTGTCAGAGTGACCATTGGGTTCTTGGTCACCTCCCTGACCAAGGCCCTTCTCTACCGATTGCTCAGTTTGGCCAGGCAGCCAGCTCTAGGAAGAGTCTTGGTGGTTCTAAACTTCTTCCATTTAAGAATGATGGAGGCCATTGTGTTCTTGGGGACCTTCAATGCTGCAGACATTTTTTGGTACCCTTCCCCAGATCTGTGCCTCGACACAATCCTGTCTCGGAGCGCTACGGACAATTCCTTCGACCTCATGGCTTGGTTTTTGTAAATAAGGTATTGTTGTTTTTTATTTTTAATACATTTGCAAATGTTTCTAAAAACCTGTTTTCGCTTTGTCATTATGGGGTATTGTGTGTAGATTGATGAGGAAACATTTTTATTTAATCAATTTTAGAATATGGCTGTAACGTAACAAAATGTGGAAAGAGTCAAGGGGTCTGAATACTTTCCGAATGCACTGTATAGCCCCAGGTTATGATAAATGGTGTAATGTAATGTTTAAGCATCTCCCTGATGCTCCCTTACACTGAACAAAAATATAAACGCAACATGCAACAATTTCAACAATTTTACTGAGTTACAGTTCATATAAGGAAATCAGTAAATTGAAATAAATTCATCAGGCCCTAATCTATGGATTTCACATGACCATGGGTGGGCCTGGGAGGGCTGGCCCACCCACTTGGGAGCCAGGCCCACCCACTGGGGAGCCAGGCCCAGCCAATCAGAATGAGTTCTTCCCTCCAAAAGGACTTTATTACAGACATAACTACTCCTCCGTTTCATCAGCTGTCCGGGTGGCTGGTTTCAGACGATCCCGCAGGTGAAGAAGCCCGATGTGGCGGTCCTGGGCTGGCGTGTTTACACGTGGTCTGCGGTTGTGAGTCCGTGGGTTGGACATACAGCCAAATTCTCCAATACAACGTTGGAGGCAGCTTATGGTAGAGAAATTAACATTAAATTCTCTGGCAACAGCTCTGGTGGACATTCCTGCAGTCAGCATGCCAATTGCATGCTCCCTCAAAACTTGACACATCTGTGGCATTGTGTTGTGTGACAAAACTGCACATTTTAGAGTGGCCTTTTATTGTCCCCAGCACAAGGTGCACCTGTGTAATGATCATGCTGTTTAATCAGCTTATTTATATGCCACACCTTTCAGGTGGATGGATTATCTTGGCAAAGGATAGAATGCTCACTAACAGGGATGTAAACACATTTGTGCGTATGGACAATTTCTGGGATATTTTATTTCAGCTCATGAAACATGGGACCAACATTTTACATGTTGCGTTTATATTTTTGTTCAGTATAGATAACACAAAACAAACAAAGGCAGGCATAGAGGCGTCTGGCCACCTCTCTCTCACAGATTGACGATCATCACTTGGCCCCACCTGTGTGCTTATCAAGGCTTCACAAGGCTTCCTGACAGAGCATCTTGCCCGGTTTCTGCTGTCCCCCTGGGGATGGGGTGTAGAAGTGGTAGTGTAGTATCTACTAATGCTCCTAAGACCTAAACTACATAACCTATTCCATAACACTTCTTTCCCTCCTCCTCACTCCTCTCTTCCCTCAGGTTATGGCGGCAGAGACATTCAGTCTTGTCTCTGCTGGTGCTGGTCACCCTCTTCTCCATCGCCTACTGTGTTAACGGAACACATCAGAAGGTGCGTGTGTGTGTGTGTGCGTGTATGAGCAGCCCTGTCCACACATCATCAGGGGTTGCTAATTAACATCCCTAAGACTTTATAAAGTTGTTGTCTCCCAAGACCACAAGCTGAAAAAAGAGTATTAAACTTAACACACACTTATCTTCACCTGACCTATTTACCACACATCCACATGCCCTATTTAATCAGTAAATTAGCTGATGCCCTATTTAATCAGTACATTAGCTGATGCCCTATTTAATCAGTACATTAGCTGTACCTCATGAACAGCTTATATACTGAGTACACACACACACACGCATGCGCTGTACCAAATGAACAACTAATGTACCACAGCAAAAGTGGTACAGAGATCCAGACAGAATTGCTTTAAAGCTGCAGCAATAAATATATTATGTGCCATATTAGACTCTTAAGCTCTAGTCCTAAAGTGTTACGTCATTAACTCCTGGTAACCCTGAAAACAATTGGACATGGCTGGCACTTTCCACCCAGGCTTTTTACTAGGCGATGAGAGACACTGCTGCCGCTGCATATGTTGTTTTTGTTTTCACGGGTTCACGGGGGTTTGCTGGGAGATAGAGTTCATTGCCAAAAAAAACTCCACAGTGTTCCCGTAATCTACACCATCACTGGCTCTTCCAGAAAACAACCTGTCTGCCCATGCTTGAGGAGGAGGCGTTGGTCCTTAAATGAGAGAGAGAGAGAGAGAGAGAGAGAGAGAGAGAGGAGAGAGAGAGGAGAGAGAGAGAGAGAGAGAGAGAGAGAGAGAGAGAGAGCTGATGAAGAGTAGGGGGAATAAACTGGGTAAGAGCTGACTTCCTTGAAGAAGAATGCTGTTTTTCTCTCTGTTTGTGTTGTTCTGAATCTGAACACTCCTACCCTATGGCCCTGTCCTCTAAACTGTCAACAGACACTAGCGTATATTCTCTATCTTATATTCTCACTCCCTCTCTCTCTATCACTTGCCCTCTCTCACCCTCTCTGCCCCCCTCTCCCTCCCTCCCTCCCTCCCTCCCTCCCTCCCTCCCTCCCTCCCTCCCTCCCTCCCTCCCTCCCTCCCTCACTCTCTCACTTGCTCTCTTTCCCCCTCTCTCCACTGCTCCCCCTCCCCTATCTTTCTGTGGTGCACTTTGACTTTCTGCCTCTCACTCTTGGCAGTCCCTCCTATTTCTAGAGTAGGGTGCGCGCACACACACACCCTCCCTCCTAGTGTCTCTCCTACTTAGATTTATTTCACTCTGCCTGAGTCTCTCATGGCTGACAGTCTCTCTGTCTGTCCCCTGTGTACAGTATGTACAACACATGGAGAAGAGGTTCCTGTGGTGTGCCTACTGGGTAGGCTTGGGTATCCTGTCCTCTGTGGGACTGGGGACTGGCCTGCACACCTTCCTCCTCTACCTGGTAAGAACTCTCTCATTTACCATGCAAATACATGCATCTACCTTGTGTCCACCATGCTTAGCTTGAGCCCAAGAACACTTTCATATTCTGTGCAATACATGTTGAAGCATAATTTGAGAGTCTAGGAACACCTATATATACCATACAAATGCATGCTCATATTTAAATAGCATAAGAGCACCTACGAATGTTTCATATACCATGCAAAATCTGTTCATGCTTAAGTTGAAATATCCCCAGTGTCAGTTTTTTTGTATATTTATATTTTATTTTTATTAGCAATTTGTTTTCTTACTTTTTAACTTTGTTTTCTTACTTTTCCCCTATTGTTGGGAAAGGGCTCGTGAGTAAGCATTTCATGGTAAAGTACACCTGTTGTATTCGGTGCAAGTGACAAATAAAATGTTTTTTGATTTGACGTTACTCAAGTCAGTCACACTGTGTATGATGCCCATCTCAAACTCAGTGTTGATGTTTTGTGAGTTGCTGCTAAGAGAGGAGAGTCTGTAATAGGCTGTAATAGGAGGTTGGAACATGGCTAAAAGTTTAAGGAGATTACCTGTGTCTCAGAAGAGAGTGTATGTGTGTGTGTGTGTGTGTGTGTGTGTGTGTGTGTGGTGTGTGTGTGTGTGTGTGTGTGTGTGTGTGTGTGTGTGTGTGTGTGTTGTGTGTGTGTGTGTGTGTGTGTGTGTGAACGTGTGTGTATGTATGCTAGTGTGTGTGTAGAACATTGTGGTGTTAAGTTCTCCTCAGTGAATAGGCACACACTGCGGCGGGGCTGGCGGGTAGCAGTAGTGTTTTGACAGGCAGTCCAAAAAAGAACGAGCGCACTCAGTGACCCCACTGACTGAGTGCATGCAAGGCTAGCCAACCTTTCTCTCTCCTCCCTTTCTTTATTTTTCTTCTCTCTCCCTCTCTCTCTCTCTCTCTCTCTCTCTCTCTCTCTCTCTCTCTCTCTCTCTCTCTCTCTCTCTGTGACTCTCTCCCCCATCCCTCTCCTCTCTCTCTCTGCTTCTGTCTCTCTCCCCCTCCCTCTCCTCTCTCTCTCTGCTTCTGTCTCTCTCCACCCCTCCCTCTCCTCTCTCTCTCTGCTTCTCTGTCTCTCTCCACCCCTCCCTCTCCCTGTTTTGAGTGGCAGTGTGGAGCAAAGGAACAGGGGCTGGCTGACTATGCTGCAGATCTGGGTTCCCAAACATCTGGTAGTCTTTACCGCTCTGAGAACACTATTAACACTGAGCCACCCATCTGTCATTTGGGAGCAGCATAGTCGCAGTCCCACTGCATCGCCAATGGAGCTGAACTGGAAACTGTTAAGTGTGTCCTCCATTCTGTGTTTTGGAGAGCCACCCTGTGCTCCCAGATGTCATTTGAGAAGTTTTTATTTTGTTATTTTTTGGGGTGACCTGACTTACTTTCCAAGATGGCAGACTGTTTTAAAGGAGGATGTCGCCATCTCATGGTCTTTTGTGGTAATGGATCAGCAGTTTTTCAGTGCTGTTTGAGGAATCAGTTAAAGTTGCCTGCTTTTGAATGTGAAGCTGATTGACACTGCTGTATTTATGGAGGCTATGGACGGGTGGGTTGTTTAGCAACAAAACCGATTCATGCACAACTTTGGGGCAAAACAGAGGGGTGGGCTCAGGCTTACATTCAAAGGATTATTGACAACATGTATACTATATTTCGTCTCCAAATGTTTATTGAAAACATAAATACAAATAGATCGTTACAGTTGTTGGTTAGCTAGCTAGGGGATTTTAGCCATATTATCGTAGATGTGACATAAGTCAAAACACCTCAAAACAAGACATGGTATCAAGAACAAGATACAAGTAGCTGAAACGGCCCACCAACATAGCAGCTTCTTGTCATTGTTGCTAGCTATCTGACGTTCAGAATCATATCATAACACACAGCAGGGGCAGCAGGTAGGCTGGCGAGTAGGTGCGTTGGGCCAGTAACCGAAAGGTTGCTGGATCGAATCCCCGAGCTGACAATGTAAAAATATGTCTTTCTGCACCTGAGCAAGGCAGTAAACACACTGTTCCCCAGGCGCCGATGACGTGGTTATCGATTAAGGCAGCCCCCCACACATCTCTGATTCAGAGGGGTTGAGTTAAATGCGGAAGGCACATTTCAATTGAATGCATTCAGTTGTACAACTGACTAGGTATCCCCCTTTCCTTTCCCAGTATTTCCCCTGTATTCATTTAACTGCAGCGCACCGCCAGAAATTCATATTCTGGGTGTAAAAATGCTATGTGTGTAAACGTAAATTATTAAAACAAGACAGAAAGTTTGTAGAAAAGATAATTGATATTTTTTAATTGCATAATCTTTGAAAACTAAAAATCACCAAAATATCATCTCGAAAACAAAAGCAATTTAGGTCAAAAGAGTTTATACTAAGAAAGGAAATAGAAAGTCTAACAGAACAGATAGATGGCAATAAAAACTGTAACATAGAGGCTCAGAATAAATTAGAGGAAAAACAAAAAGAAATTGAGAAACTTATTCAAGAAAGATCAAGTGTAATATATTATAAAAATAAAGCAAACTGGATGGAATATGGGGAAAAATGCACAAAATTCTTTTTAAATCTTCAACATAGGAATGCTACCAAAAAGAACTTAATGAAACTGGTTACAATTGACGGAGTCACCCATAATTCACCAAATGATATTTTGAAGGAAGAAACAAAGTACTTTAAGCATATGTTTTCTTTTCAGTCGCCTCCATCTCCTCTAACTGAAGCTAATTGTAGAGATTTTTTTTCTATTGATAATGTCATTATTAACAGCCACACAGAAAGACTCATGTGAAGGTGAAATTACAGAGGAGGAACTTCTGGATGCAATTAAAGACTTTAAGTCCGGGAAAACTCCAGGGTTGGATGGCATACCAGTCGAGGTATACCAAACCTTTTTTGATATACTAAGAGGACCGTTATTAGCATGTTTTAACCACTCCTATGTAAATGGTAGATTATCTGACACTCAAGAAGAAGGTCTGATCTCATTATTACTGAAACAGGATACAAGTGGAAAATATAAAGATCCAGGCTATTTAAAATATTGGAGGCCCCTTACACTTCAGTGTTGTGATGCAAAAATCCTAGCAAAATGTATAGCGCATAGAATTAAAAAGGTATTGTCGGATATTATTCATTCTAATCGGACAGGTTTTTTCAATGGAAGATACATTGGAGATAATATAAGGCAAGTATTGGAAACAATAGAACACTATGGAAAATATGGGAAACCAGGCCTGCTATTCATAGCAGACTTCGAAAAGGCATTTGATAAAGTTCGACTGGGGTTTATATATAAATGCCTGGAGCATTTCAATTTTGGAGAATCTCTTATAAAATGGGTCAAAATCATGTATAGTAACCCTAGGTGTAAAATAGTAAATAATGGCTATTTCTCAGAAAGTTTTAAACTGTCAAGAGGATTGAAACAAGGTTGTCCACTATCGGCATATCTATTTATTGTGGCCATCGAGATGTTAGCTATTAAAATCAGATCCAATAATAATATCAGAGGATTAGAAATACAGGGCTTAAAAACAAAGGTGTCATTGTACGCAGATGATTCATGTTTTCTTTTAGATCCACAACTAGAATCCCTCCACAGCCTCATAGAGGATCTAGATACATTTTCTAACCTCTCTGGATTACAACCAAATTATGACAAATGTACTATATTACGTATTGGATCACTAAAAAATAAAAAATTTACATTACCATGTAGTTTACCAATAAAATGGTCTGATGGTGATGTGGATATACTCGGAATACATATCCCAAAGGAAATAAATGATCTCACTTCAATACATTTTAATAGAAAGTTAGCAAAAATAGATAAGATCTTACTACCATGGAAAGGAAAATACCTGTCAATTTGTGGAAAAATCACCCTGATTAACTCTTTAGTATTATCCCAGTTTACCTATTTGCTTATGGTCTTGCCTTCGCCTAGCGAACAGTTTTTTAAATTATATGAGAAAAAAATATTCAATTTTATTTGGAACGGCAAGCCAGACAAAATTAAAAGAGCATATTTATATAATGAATATGAATTCGGAGGACAGAAATTATTAAATATTAAAGCATTAGACCTATCACTAAAAGCTTCAGTCATACAAAAGTTATACTTAAATCCGAACTGGTTCTCAAGCAGATTAGTAAGATTGTCTCACCCAATGTTCAAGAAAGGCCTTTTTCCCTTTATTCAGATTACAACCTCTCACTTTCAGTTATTTGAAAAGGAAATAATCTCCCAAATGTCACTATTTCTAAAACAAGCCATAGAAAGTTGGTTGCAATTTCAATTTAATCCTCCAGAAATGACAGAACAAATAATGCAACAAATATTGTGGTTAAATTCAAATATACTAATTGACAAAAAACCTTTATTTTTTGACAGAATGTTTAAAAAAGGTATAATCTTCGTAAATGATATCATCAGTAGGACTGGTGGAGTTATGTCGCACATGCAGCTAACAAAAACATATGGAAATGTCTGCTCTACCCAAAATTACAACCAAATAATTGCAGCCTTACCGCAAAAGTGGAAGAGGAAAGTGGAAGGGGGAGAAAGTAAGGAACTTGTCTGTCGGCCTTGCATTAAAGAACATAATTGGTTAAGGAAAACTGCGATAAATAAAAAAGTATATCAGTTTCACTTAAGGACCAAAGGATTGACAGCCGTCCCATATAGATTGCAAAATAGTTGGGAAGAGATCTTTGACGTACCGATCCCATGGCATAGTGTTTATGAACTGACACGCAAAACGACACCGGATTCAAAAATTAGAATCTTTCAATTTAAATTATTATATAACATTCTTGCTACCAATAGAGGAAAAAAAGTATTTAGTCAGCCACCAATTGTGCAAGTTCTCCGACTTAAAAAGATGAGAGAGGCCTGCAATTTTCATCATAGGTACACGTCAACTATGACAGACAAATTGAGAAAAAAAAATGCAGAAAATCACATTGTAGGATTTTTTATGAATTTATTTGCAAATTATGGTGGAAAATAAGTATTTGGTCACCTACAAACAAGCAAGATTTCTGGCTCTCACAGACCTGTAACTTCTTCTTTAAGAGGCTCCTCTGTCCTCCACTCGTTACCTGTATTAATGGCACCTGTTTGAACTTGTTATCACTATAAAAGACACCTGTCCACAACCTCAAACAGTCACATTCCAAACTCCACTATGGCCAAGACCAAAGAGCTGTCAAAGGACACCAGAAACAAAATTGTAGATCTGCACCAGGCTGGGAAGACTGAATCTGCAATAGGTAAGCAGCTTGGTTTGAAGAAATCAACTGTGGGAGCAATTATTAGGAAATGGAAGACATACAAGACCACTGATAATCTCCCTCGATCTGGGGCTCCACGCAAGATCTCACCCCGTGGGGTCAAAATGATCACAAGAACGGTGAGCAAAAATCCCAGAACCACACGGGGGGACCTAGTGAATGACCTGCAGAGAGCTGGGACCAAAGTAACAAAGCCTACCATCAGTAACACACTACGCCGCCAGGGACTCAAATCCTGCAGTGCCAGACGTGTCCCCCTGCTTAAGCCAGTACATGTCCAGGCCCGTCTGAAGTTTGCTAGAGTGCATTTGGATGATCCAGAAGAGGATTGGGAGAATGTCATATGGTCAGATGAAACCAAAATAGAACTTTTTGGTAAAAACTCAACTCGTCGTGTTTGGAGGACAAAGAATGCTGAGTTGCATCCAAAGAACACCATACCTACTGTGAAGCATGGGGGTGGAAACATCATGCTTTGGGGCTGTTTTTCTGCAAAGGGACCAGGACGACTGATCCGTGTAAAGGAAAGAATGAATGGGGCCATGTATCGTGGGATTTTGAGTGAAAACCTCCTTCCATCAGCAAGGGCATTGAAGATGAAACGTGGCTGGGTCTTTCAGCATGACAATGATCCCAAACACACCGCCCGGGCAACGAAGGAGTGGCTTCGTAAGAAGTATTTCAAGGTCCTGGAGTGGCCTAGCCAGTCTCCAGATCTCAACCCCATAGAAAATCTTTGGAGGGAGTTGAAAGTCCGTGTTGCCCGGCGACAGCCCCAAAACATCACTGCTCTAGTGGAGATCTGCATGGAGGAATGGGCCAAAATACCAGCAACAGTGTGTGAAAACCTTGTGAAGACTTACAGAAAACGTTTGACCTGTGTCATTGCCAACAAAGGGTATATAACAAAGTATTGAGAAACTTTTGTTATTGACCAAATACTTATTTTCCACCATAATTTGCAAATAAATTCATTAAAAAATCCTACAATGTGATTTTCTGGATTTTTTCTTCTCATTTTGTCTGTCATAGTTGACGTGTACCTATGATGAAAATTACAGCCCTCTCTCATCTTTTTAAGTGGGAGAACTTGCACAATTGGTGGCTGACTAAATACTTTTTTCCCCCACTGTATATGGGGGATACAATCTTCCCAGCTCTGCAGATTTTGCTGTGAAGAGACAGAATCATTAGATCATTTGTTTTGGTTCTGTCCATTTGTAGCTTGTTTTTGGACACAGGTCCAGGAATGGCTAAAGGATTGCAATATTTACCTGGAACTAACCTTGCAGATAGCATTACTGGGTGATCTGAAAAGTCATAGTAAATCAATCAATAATATAATAATACTTTTAGCAAAAATGTTTATTTTTAATTCACAATCTGTAGAAGCAATGAGAATAGAAAGGTTCAGAACTTTTGTAAAACATCACAGTATGGTTGAAATATATATGGCAAATAGAAATCCTATATGGATGGTGTTAAGAGATAGATGGGAGGTATTGAATAGAGTTGAAGGATGGGACTAATAACAAATAACAACAAATAATAACAAAGATAGCTAATAATGTAAGCATACTGTGTCCATAATAAGTATATAGGTTGTATGTTGGGAGCTTTTGGGAAAGAGCACAGTTAGAAAGATATGGCATATAGAAGCAAACCGGATGGACATCATGAAAATGATCGGAGAGGTTGAGAGTAGAAGAAGTTCAGGAGCAAAAAATAAATAAATAAATAAATAAAATATATATATAATAGAATTATTGTAAAATTAACTCTGTCCATAAGGTGTAGATAGTAAGTATAGACCGGAAGTAGAGGCCTGGGCATTGTTGTTCACTAATTTACTCCAAGCAGGGATTGGATGGTGGGGTTGAAAAGTAATATAGGGGAGTATATATATATATAAATATATTTAAAAAATCATGGGGGATTGGAAGTGATGCAGACAATTACATTGATAGAAGATACAATCTATCTGCAATATTAAGCTGATCCATTCCCCCCGAAAAAAATAAATAAAATGTTTTAAAATAATAAACTACTTAAAAAAATAAAAAAAAATAAAAAAATTCACCTAAATAAAACCTAAAATGATGAAACCAATCAAATCACTACGAATTTAGGAGTACTTTTGGCATGGCGGGATTACCGACCGAGCATGCAGGACACATGCCCAGGGGCTCCGATTGGGGTCCTCATAGATTTTTTAAATAATGTTTGACCATAAGAACACAGAATTAGACATGGCAAAAATCGTAGAATTGGAGGAAATTTTGCTTTTACACTTCAACATTTTCTGTCAGCTCCATGGCAAAATGTGTACAATTGCACAAAAAAAATCGCTTTCAAATTGCAAAATGTCCTCTCAGCTCCATGGAAAAATGTATAGAATTACAGTTAAGTAGCCTCTTTTTGATCCATAAAAAAGCTTGCTTATTACTAAAAGCACACCTGCCTGATAATATGGTATGGTGCCATAGGCTATGGATTTTTTTAAATCAATATGTGGGGGTTATAGATGGATGGCGTCGGCAACATTTGATTTTAATTAATTTTGTAGTAGAATGTCCTTAACTCTTTACACTGGGAATTAGCCTATATGGATAGGGCTACATTTAAATGTTTCTTACAGAAGAAATCCAAAAACGGTCCATTATAAATCACAATATGGATCAGGTGGGCATCATTTGAAAGTCTGTTCTATTGCTAACATAACTAGCTAAGTTATAAAATACAATATTACAGTGTTAGGCTTTTACAATGCAATTCAGGGAAACAGGTCATCATTTTTGTGTGCATTAAAGGAGTCATGATTGCTTTCAGGTGCGTGTGCCGCGGTGAATTTTCTTCACAATATACAAACATAGGCTCATTCTGTTCAGAACAGCCAAGGGTATGACGCCATGTCATCTTGTAACTGTACATCAAACATAGTGATCATAAACGTTGACACTAATGACATTAGTTTTATGATATGGAAATGTGAAGTGCACATTTGGACTCACAGATGTTTGGCTTGCTTGTATGACATCAAAGCGGTATTTATTATTATCCTCAACGTTTTATCTTTCAAAATACATAGACTCCTCTTAATTTACAACATTTTCCTCACTCAGACATTTAAAAAATGTCCCAATTAGCGGGAAGGATGGGGGCAACTTCTTGTCGCGCAAGGTGCTCAAGGTCAGAACGGCTGTCAGTCAAAACCCATACAGCACTGTGAAGCGCAGAGGCAGAGCTCTGATGTTATGTATGGCATGTTACTGTACAGACACTGCGTTCCAACTTAGGCGTTTATCAGTGCCCAATCTGTCATTTTCAACTTGTATACGGGTATGAGTGTAAAGAGTTAAAAACTCACCGGAATTGACCTCACAGTCCTTCCCCCCTTCCGCAACCATTGCCACAGCTGCTAACAAAAAATCTAGGGGAAACACTGCACAGCCTTTTAACAATTTGCTTGAATCATTTTTGTGACGTTACGGGATGATTTGGGTCATTGTGGGTTTGTGCTCTCCTACTCACAGAGGCCTTGGTATAGCTGTAGATTTATGGTTAGAACACTGCTCCTTATCTGATCAATCTTGTCCATGACGCATTCTGACTACTACAGAAAATGTTCACTACTAAAGGAAATGTTCACTTCTACAGGAAATCATATGTATTTCTGTTATGAGTTTTGAAATGTTCGCAATGTTTGATGGTTGCAGTGACTTATTTTCCCTTTCTTCTTCACAATGGTTGATGCAGCTTTCCTGCTTGGGTTCAGAGGGTTCACTGTAAACCCACTTTTGTGAGCAGTAGGTGGCACCATTTGTCTGTGAATGTGAATAAGATGCTTAATGCAGTGCATGTAGAGCAGAGATGGGCAACCCTTTTGTAGGCCTGCGGACCAATTCATAAGAAATATTTTTTTAGAAGCTCAGTGGGGGTTTCAACTTACTGTTGACAGTTAGAATAATAGAATACACAATGTGCAATTTCGAAATTTCGTTGTCGGTATGCAGGCCCACGAGCCACTGCGGACCCTCAAGATGAGTTCTGTTTTTGTGTGCCCCCCCCATCAGTTGCCCATCCCTGATGTAGAGGTACTCTCTCCTTTAGGAGGTAACACCATTGGACTCAGTTATATAAGTCCTATAGGATGGCGTTTGCAACGCCAGGGTTGTGGGTTTGATTCCCACGGGGGGCCAGTATGAAAATGTATGCACTCACTAACTGTAAGTTGCTCTGGATAAGAGCGTCTGCTAAATGACTAAACATGTAAATGTAAGAGTCAGTGAGAGGTCATGATGTCACAGGGATTCCTATCTAAACCAGAGCTTCCTGTGGACATTGTACAAAACAAGACGCTTCCTAGGGACATAAAAGGCTCTGCTTATGAGGCGTCTTCCTGTGTCTGATATAGTGGCGTGAGATGAGACAGAGGGCTCTGTTCTAGAAAGCAATGTATTTTCTAGTCATTTTAGTCATTATGTCTGAAATGTACAGAATGTGGCGCTCTCCGGATCACGATGGTGATTCTGTATGTTATCCCAATAGTGTATAGTACCATCAGCACCCAGCAGAGGGAGATAGGACTCTTCAGCGCTGACTCTGATGCTGACTCACTCAGACAGTGAAGAGGAGGATCTCCTGTTCACTGACATTGGCAATTTCTGCACTTGTCTCCTTTGTGTTTGTGTCCCAGTGAGACTGTGAGCGATTCACCCAGCTGCTTAGAAAGTACTGCTCTTAAAAACAATAGAGTTGTGAATGCACCTCAAAACCAGAGGGTAGGCAGAGAAGCAGTGATGACTGTAGTTCTCCCGGTGTGTGTATGTGTGTGTGCGTGACTGCGTGTGTGTGTGTGTTCAGTCTCAGCTCAGACACATGACTCAGCACTCCTGCTTCTGGACCATCTGCTCCAGCAACAAAGCCTTTATTTACAGAGCCAATCCCCTCTTTACCCACCCTCTCAACCCATCAACCCATACAGCGGGCACAGCTCTCACAGCAGGGGCCTGGGGTGGAGGGGTGCCAGGGCACAAGGGAGGAGGGGATGGAGGAAGGGGGGAGAAAGGAGGAGGGAGAGAGGCACTGGTACTTGCTGAGGCATGGTTCCCCACTAGCTGGATCTCTGACACAACAGTCTCCACTCCCAGGGGGTTTAGGTCCCAGAATAAACACACCCTATGCACACTTCTATGTCTTTGTCCTGTACCTGAGCCCATCAGCAACTACGATGAAAGTGGTGATGATGATGAGGATTATGAAGACTATGAGTGATTGCCCTCTTGTCACAGCATCTAGAGGAGTTGTTTTGTTTGTTTGTGACATCCTCCTCTATCATGGATGCGATTGTATCATGTGTTTTCTAATGTCAACCACGGCTGATGTGTCAGTATACCACATTAATCCAGTTTTAATGGGCCTGGGTGATGGATGACTGGGACTTGGGGAAATCAAGCTAAGCTGTAAATAGTTTTGACGAGAGCTCATTTCATTTGACGAGAGTCATCCACCATTAAATTGCATTCAGTAATGGCTGTTGTCATTAAGTAATTATGGGAAGCTTAGAAAATTGCTGTGATTAACAGTAAATCAACAGCAACAAAGTTATTATTATATTATATTCCAATTCGAACACATTTGTGTTTAGATAAAAGCAACCACGTGCACTGGGGCGCCGACCTCCAGCCCCCGCCCCCCAGATAGCATATGCACACATCATAAGCAATGTGAAAATGTGTAGAATAGCAGGAAATTAGCTTTAAAACTGCAAAAGTTTCTCTCAGCCTCATGGCAAAATGTGAAGAATAGCATGAGATGAGCTATAAAATAGCACATTTTTCTCTCTGCCCCAAAGGCAAAATGTGCAGAATTGCAGGAAATGTGCTTCAAAACTGCAAAATGTTCTGTAAGCCTCATGAAAAAAATGTGTAGAATAGAATTATAAAACTGCTAATTTTCTCTAGGGAACAGAGGTACGGTAGGTGCCCCAGGGCCCCAAATGTGGTAGTCCAGCTATGTGTGTGTGTGTGTGTGTGTTTTATGACTATCACTATAATGTCAGTTAAACCTCCAGAAAACGCTAGCTGTTCTTGGGATTATAAAAATACTATAGTGTTTTTCTAAGCAGTGTGATTTACCATGTCTTTCAGAAATAACCCAGAGGATTAGCTAAATAAAATATCAATTCTGTAGTTTTCTATATCCAGCCTCGTAGGATTTTCTAAATTACACGTTGTAGAATGGTTTGCATAGCTTATACACATTTTTCCCAGAAAAGCCCCTGAAATTAAGTTTTACTGTTGACCAAAACAGCTCAAATTAACGACAACACTGTCTCAGAGCACGCCAACCAAGATCTGTAGTATCTTTCCACTCAGTCATATCACTGCTGGACTATTGTCTAGTTAGAAATCTAAACGACTATCACATTCAGAGTCATCCAGACACCCACACAGTACACAGTCATTTAAATTCATTCAGAGAAACAAATGAACAGACTCCTTTACACACACAGTGACACTCACATTTCCTCTGAAACAGACACGCAAGCACACACACACACACACACACACACACACACACACACACACACACACACACACACACACACACACACACACACACACACACACACACACACACACGCTAAATATGTGTGAGTATTCAGACCCCTCTAGCGACACATTTTCAAAAAAGTGACTAGCGACAAACCTAGCGACATTTTCTGGTGTTATTGGAGACTTTTGGAGACTCTGACGTGAAAGCACGTATCGTTCTTAATCTTCATCCCTTAGCAGAAAAACACCCCCAAAGCATAATGTTTCCACCTCCATGTTTGACGGTGGGGATGGTGTTCTTGGGGTCATAGGCAGCATTCCTCCTCCTCCAAACACGGCGAGTTGAGTTGATGCCAAAGAGCTCGATTTTGGTCTCATCTGACGACAACACTTTCACCCAATTCTCCTCTGAATCATTCAGATGTTCATTGGCAAACGTCAGACGGGCCTGTATATGTGCTTTCTTGAGCAGGGGGACCTTGCGGGCGCTGCAGGATTTCAGTCCTTCACGGCATAGTGTGTTACCAATAGTTTTCTTGGTGACTATGGTCCCAGCTGCCTTGAGATCATTGACAAGATCCTCCCGTGTAGTTATGGGCTGATTCCTCACCGTTCTCATGATCACAACGAGCAGCGGGTACTGCCGTGGACCCCACCCCCGTCCCAAAGCGCTCACAGGCGGCCCAGTCCTCGCGCAGCAGTCCCTCCCAGCTGCAGTCAGAGCAGGAGATGTTCATCCCTCCGTATCCAGACTGCAAATGAATCGCGCATGCGGGAAGCTGCCGCTGGCTGATCCCGCCCTGACTTACATTCAAGGCGGGATGTACAGTGAGGGAAAAAAGTATTTGATCCCCTGCTGATTTTGTACGTTTGCCCACTGACAAAGAAATGATCAGTCTATAATTTTAATGGTAGGTTTATTTTAACAGTGAGAGACAGAATAACAACAACAAAAAAACAGAAAAACACATGTCAAAAATGTTATAAATTGATTTGCATTTTAATGAGGGAAATAAGTATTTGACCCCCTCTCAATCAGAAAGATTTCTGGCTCCCAGGGGTCTTTTATACAGGTAACGAGCTGAGATTAGGAGCACACTCTTAAAGGGAGTGCTCCTAATCTCAGTTTGTTACCTGTATAAAAGACACCTGTCCACAGAAGCAATCAATCAATCAGATTCCAAACTCTCCACCATGGCCAAGACCAAAGAGCTCTCCAAGGATGTCAGGGACAAGATTGTAGACCTACACAAGGCTGGAATGGGCTACAAGACCATCGCCAAGCAGCTTGGTGAGAAGGTGACAGCAGTTGGTGCGATTATTCGCAAATGGAAGAAACACAAAATAACTTTCAATCTCCCTCGGCCTGGGGCTCCATGCAAGATCTCACCTTGTGGAGTTGCAACACAGGACAACAAAGGGACGATGGACGGGGCCATGTACCATCAAATCTTGGGTGAGAACCTCCTTCCCTCAGCCAGGGCATTGAAAATGGGTCGTGGATGGGTATTCCAGCATGACAATGACCCAAAACACACGGCCAAGGCAACAAAGGAGTGGCTCAAGAAGAAGCAAATTAAGGTCCTGGAGTGGCCTAGCCAGACTCCAGACCTTAATCCCATAGAATATCTGTGGAGGGAGCTGAAGGTTTGAGTTGCCAAACGTCAGGCTCGAAACCTTAATGAGTTGGAGAAGATCTGCAAACCTGGTGGCTAACTACAAGAAACGTCTGACCTCTGTGATTGCCAACAAGGGTTTTGCCACCAAGTATTAAGTCATGTTTTGCAGAGGGGTCAAATACTTATTTCCCTCATTAAAATGCAAATCAATTTATAACATTTTTGACATGCGTTTTTCTGGATTGTTTTGTTGTTATTCTGTCTCTCACTGTTCAAATAAACCTACCATTAAAATTATAAACTGATCATGTCTTTGTCAGTGGGCAAACGTACAAAATCAGCAGGGGATCAAATACTTTTTTCCCTCACTGTAAATGTAAAACATTTTTAAAAAATAAGAATCTACAGAAGAAAGTTCATTTGTAGTTCTAAAAATATTTAGGTTTTTTTAAACTCACTTTTTGTCTCTCCCTCGACGTTATTCCTCTCTCCTACAGCGTCCATCACAATTACATGCACATGGCCAATTATGCAAATTAGATGATGACGTCATTTAGCGACTTCTAGCGACTTTTAGGACAGCCAATTGCTACTTTCCTTACTGAGGAGTTGGCAACACTGCACACACGTGAGCACACACTAGAGGTTGACATGGGAACAGGACTCCCGTGGGTCTTGCGGATCCCGTGGGATTCTGTCAGGAATGGGAGTCAACTTCTAGAGTCAAGTTCGGGACAGGACGGGACAGGATCAACAGTCTAGGAATGGGCAGTACAGGAAAAGTTATAAACTGAGCTTTTTTGGCGGAAATATGTCGTGTGGAGCATTTAATAAAAATAACAACTGTGTAGGCTAGGCCTAATATAGTTTACTTAATAAGAAATCAATAAAAAAAGTATTGTCATTTCCCCCCTCCCCAGCTCACTTTCGCGCCTTGCTCAAGTTGTTGCCAGTCACTAGGCTACCTCAGATGCCAACCTAGTCGGCTAAATGATGAAGCCTTCAATAGAAGAATTGCAATGTGTTGTTGCAGCCAAGGACCCATCACTAAATTTGATGGAGTTGTCTTTGACAACGAATGAACCGAGTACACGGCTTGTTAAAAATGCTGCTGTTTAATCAAATAGGCTGCCAACCAGAGAGAGGGACAAGCTGCCTGAAGCGGCATTTCTGCTCTACTCCTAACAACTTAACCTTCCAGACCAATTGTTTGCGTATTTAACTAAACCCGTGCCAACTGAGGTGAAGAGTGAAATAAAAATAGATTGACTTATGCAGTACTGCCGCTCAGTTTTATTTAATTTTTTATGTTCATGTTGTAAATGTTAATGTGTTGTAAATGTTCATAGGTGGTCAGCTGTAGGCTACAGATTTCTGCCGGTCCTGTGCTGAGCAGACCATCCTGCTGGGGTCTCTGAGCAGACCATCTTGCTGGGGTCTCTGTCCTCATCCTCCAGCCTTAATCATTCTGCATTTAGCTCATTTAGAATACGCTCTAATCCAGAGCGATTTAAAGTTTACAGTCAGTGCGTTTAACTAAAATAGGTAATACAACCACATACGGTATCACAGTCGCATATTGCATTACTGAAATTATTTTAAATACTTCCTAAACAAACACAATAGCCTACATATTTCTGCGCGCAGAAATGAGCACAGGACGGGACAGGAGTGAATTTTATTGGGAAGGGACAGGAAAGCTCTGGGGTTATAGAAGTGTTGTGGGATAAGGACATTACAGGAAAAAAAATCGAAACACATTTTCACTCCCGTGTCAACCTCTAGCACACACACACCAGTTGTTGTCCAGTCCCAGCCCAGAGACTCAGTGTAACTGGTGGCATTGCAATAGTGTTGTGGCTCTGTGGCTAATATAGTATATCTGTCTGTGGTACAGTATGGGCTGCTCCCTCTCTACTCACCTGCCTCTCTACTCATTTTAAATTCCAGAGAGAATTACAATTAGTGCATTCATCTTAGGATAACTAGGTGAGACAACTACATATCAAAGTCGTAATACATTTTCCCTCAATAAAGTAGCTATCAGCAAAGTCAGTGCTAGTTGGAAATACTCTTTGAAGGGGTAGGGTTTCAGACGTTTTTGGAAGATGAGCAGGGACGCCGCTGTCCTGATGTTAGGGGGAAGCTTGTTCCACCATTGGGATGCCAGGACAGAGTAGAGCTTTGACTGGGTTGAGCAGGAGCTGATCCCCCCGTAGGGGTTGGAGGGCCAAGAGACCAGAGGTGGCAGAACGGAGTGCTCAGGTTGGGGTGTAGGGTTTGAGCATAGCCTGAAGGTAGGGTGGGGCAGTTCACCTTGCTGCTCTGTAGGCAAGCATCATAATAATAATAATAATAATATGCCATTTAGCAGACGCTTTTATCCAAAGCGACTTACAGTCATGCGTGCATACATTTTCTTTTGTGTATGGGTGGTCTTGTTGTGGATGCGAGCTTAGAATGGAAGCCAGTAGAGTGTGCGGGGTGACATGGGAGTATTTGGGAAGGTTGAACACCAGGACGTTCTTAATAAGTTGCAAGGGTTTGATGGCACAAGCAGGGAGCCCAGTCAGCAGAGAGTTGCAGTAGTCTACAGTGCATTCGTAAAGTATTCAGACCCCTTCCCCTTTTCCACATTTTGTTACGTTACAGCCTTATTCTAAAGTGGATTAAATAAAAAATGTTCCTCATCAATCTACACACAATACCCCATAATGACAAAGAGAAAACAGGTTTTCAGAAATTTATGCCAAACCAATTTAGAATAGAAATATGAAAAAGTCAAGGTTTCTGAATACTTTTCAAATGCACTGTAGACGGGAGAGGACAAGTGCCTGGACTAGGACCTGTGCCGCTTCCTGTGTGAGGAAGGGTCGTACTCTACGGATGTTGTAGAGAATGAACCTGCAGGAGCGAGTCACTGCTTTGATGTTTGCAGAGAATGACAGGGTGTTGTCCAGGGTCACGCCAAGGTTCTTTGCACTCTGGGAGGGGTACACCGTGGAGTTGTAAATCGTGATGGAGAGATCTTAGAGCGGTAGGCCTTCCCCGGGAGGAAGAGCAGCTCTATCTTGTTGAGGTTGAGCTTGAGGTGGTAGGCCGACATCCAAGCTGAGATGTCTCCTGAGTGGCGCAGTTGTCTAAGGCACTGCATCGCAGTGCTAACTGTGCCACTAGAGATCCTGGTTCGAATCCAGGCTCTGTCACAGCCGGCCGCGACCGGGAGACTCATGGGCGGCGCACAATTGGCCCAGCGTCGTCCAGGGTAGGGGAGGGAATGGCCGGCAGGGATGTAGCTCAGTTGATAGAGCATGGCGTTTGCAATGCCAGGGTTGTGGGTTTGTTTCCCACGGGGGGCCAGTATAAAAAAATATGTATTCACTAACTGTAAGTCGCTCTGGATAAGAGTGTCTGCTAAATGACTAAAATGTAATGTAAATGTAATGTCTGCCAGGCACGCAGAGATGCCTGTCGCCACTTGGGTGTCAGAATGGGAGAAGGAGAAAAGTGGTTGAGTGTCATCTGCATAGCAATGATAGGAGAGACCATGTGAGGATATGACGGAGCCGAGTGACTTGGTGTATAGAGAAAAGAGGAGAGGGCCTAGAACCGGGCCCTGGGAGACACCAGTATTGAGAGCACCTGGTGCAGACTCAGATCCTCTCCACGTCACCTGGTAAGAGCAACCTGCCAGGTAGGATGCAATCCAAGAGTGTGCATAGCCTGAGACGCCCAGCCCTGAGAGGGTGGAGAGGAGGATCTGATGGTTTATGGTGTTGAAGACAGCGGATAGATCTAGGAGGAGGACAAGAGAGGAGAGTCAGCTTTGGCAGAGCGGAGAGCCTCCCTGACACAGAGAAGAGTGGTCTCAGTTGAGTGAGCTGTCTTGAAACCTGACTGGTATGGGTCAAGAAGTTAGTTCTGAGAGAGATAACGAGAGAGTTAGTCATAGACAGCACATGCAAGTGTTTTGGAAAGAAAAGAAAGAAGGGATACCGGTCTGTAGTTTTTGACCTGAGAGGGGTCGAGTGTTGGTTTCTTGAGGAGGAGAGCGACTCTGGCCATCTTGAAGTCAGAGGGGACGCAGCCAGTAGTTAGGGATGTGTTGATGAGGGAAGTGAGGAACGTGAGAGACATGGTCTGGAGAAGGGAGGAGGGGATGGGGTCGAGTGGGCAGGTTTTCATTTGGAGAGAGAGGGGAGAAACAGGTCAAGGCGTAGGGTAGTTCTGTGAGAGTGGGACCAGTGGAGTCAATAGGCTGAGTGAAGGAGGAGCGGATATCATCTACCTTCTTTTCAAAGTGGTTGACAAAGTCGTCCGCGGAGAGGGAGGTGGAGGACTAAGGAGAGAGGAGAAGGTGGAGATGGTTAATTTAGAATGATAGAAAGTGACTTTAACAGCTGATACAGAGGAAGATACGGTAGAGAGGAGGGGCTGAAAGGATGATAGGTCCTCCGGAAGTTTAGTTTCCATCAATTTTTGCTCAGCTGGCCGCAGCCCTATTCTGTGAGCTCACAGTGAGTCACTTAACTACGGAGCAGGAGGGGAGGGCCGGCCGGGAGGGAAGGGGAAAGTGAGAGTCATAGGATGCAGAAAGGGAGGAGAGTATGGTCGGAGAGGCAGAATCAGGAGAGAAAATGATTTAGCAGAATGTAGAGATGATAGGATAGAAGAGAGTAGTGGGAGAGAGAGAGCGAAGATTGCGATGCGCATGGCCATCTGGGTAGGGGCTGAGTGTGTAAGGGTTGGAGGAGCAAGGGAGAGAAAAGTAAACAAAGTAGTGCTCAGAGACATGGAGGGGGTTGCACTGACGTTAGTAGGCGAACAGCGGTCAAGCGCATCGTTTGCCTTGGTGTGTCAAAGGTGGCTGAGGAAACCCATGGGCGTCCATCTATTCTCTGGTGTCAAGAACTGCTGCTTTGTTTGTTGCCTGTGTGCAGTAGTGCCACACCAAGATCAGGTTCAAACCTCTTTATAAACCTACCTGTCACCTAACTTCACAATATTTTTCAATGTCACTTCATCCATTGACACATTGAAATATATCTTTACTTCAATTTGAAGTAATTGGCCAGTATTTCCTTTGAGCTGCGTAATATAGTTACTGGCTTTTATAGTTACTTAATCTAGTCTTTGGATCCTAACATACTGAAAATCAGTATTAGTTACAGCAATATAAATCTGACATGACTGTGCTGGTCTGGTCAGGTGTTTCACGGCCCTGGCGGTGGTGGCAATTTCATGGTTAATGTGTGCCACAGCTGCTCTGGGGGCTATTGCCCAACCAAACGGTAGTAGGCCTCAATGGAAAACAAGACATAAAAGTGCTTCATTCAATTTCTTAATTCATCCGTTGATTCATTCATTCATTCATTGCTGCTCAGTACAGGTTAGAGTCTGCAGCTTAGGAAAACATATTGTGATTTACTCCTGTAGTCCCATCAAAGTTGCATGCCAGAGAGATGTGAAAATAAGAACACTGGGTTAGTGTTTCAGAGTGTGTGTGCGCATGTGTGTGTGTGTGTGTGAGATAATATGTGTGTGTGTGTGTGTTTATAACTGCTGAATCACACTTGCAACAATCTCAATCTCACACCGCAGTCATCTGAGGCATGTGGCTGAGTGTTTCTCCCAGCCTCTCCTTAACTGGACAGACCCCAGACAGGAATGGGCACGTTGTTAACACCAAACACAACAGCCTCTCACTGTGAAAGAAAGCCACACAGCCAGTCCCCCTCAGAGGAAGGAAATCATGCTAGACCAGAGTGGGGTTAGTCAGTGTGTAACCCTTCAGACTCACTGCTGCCACAGGAGTCCAAACCTAACCAAGCCAGACTAGACCAGACCAGACCTGACAGTTTTAACAAACCAGAGCTGAGTAGATCCTAGCTCATGCAGTAGTTCATTCATTTATCCGTCCAAGTTCATACCGTTAACATAAACAGGGAATGGACAGGGAATGGTCTTGAACTGTATAGACATCTTGATTTTCCACATCAGTCTGTCAAAGGGAAAAGAGGGGAAACCACAGATAGTAATCATGTTGCTGTATACATCAAAATAGTATGTATGATGTCATCTGGCTGTATCTTAACTCCCCATACTCTTCATCAGCTTCTCTCTCTCTCTCTCTCTCTCTCTCTCCTCTCTCTCTCTCCTCTCTCTCTCTCTCTCCTCTGCCCTCGTCTCTCTCTCTCTCTCTCTCCTCTCTCTCTCTCTCTCTCTCTCTCATCTCCCCTCTTCTCATCTCTCTCTACCCCGTGTCATCACTCCTCGTCTCTCTCAGTTTGGCTCCGCTGTAGGTATGTGTCCCCTACTACAGTAACAGCAGGCAGCAGCAGGCCAGTGAGTTGTATTATGAGTGGTGGTTGTGGAAGTGACCATGAATGGGCTGTGACTAATGTGTTACCCTGACCCCTGACCAGAGAGCAGAGACCTGCAGACGACCATGCTGCTGCTGGGGCTGTGGTTAGGTTACAGTCAATTAACGGTAAGCCCATTAGGGGTCTGCTCTCTGGTTTGGGATTAAACTGCTGCTCCGCTGTTTACACTTGGCACCATAGCCCACAAGCCAGTTACACTGTTGGCACCATAGCCCACAAGCCAAGGGAAAGCCAATAGGTTGCCAAAGTGGGCACACTACACTGTGCCATGCGTCAAAGCCATACCTTGATGTTTGAAGTCCAAGTGAAAAGGACTGGAGTGTTGTGTTAAGAATAAGATGTCAGGGTTAAAAGTCTGGTTGTAAATTAGTTGGCAGAATGAGTGAGTGAATATCGTTTCCTGTCAGAAATGTGCCTGTCATTTGCCACAGGCTGCCCTTGGCAGCTGTAGAACATTGTGGAATATAACAGTGGAATATTGATTGAGTATTCAAGAAGACAAGAGCGACAAATCTATGGCAGTGGATATGCGTTTTATGCTTATCCACACTGGCTCTTCATCCAGTAGAGGAACACACTGGCTCTTCATCCAGTAGAGGAACACACTGGCTCTTTATCCAGTAGAGGAACACACTGGCTCTTCATCCAGTAGAGGAACACACTGGCTCTTTATCCAGTAGAGGAACACACTGGCTCTTCATCCAGTAGAGGAACACACTGGCTCTTTATCCAGTAGAGGAACACACTGGCTCTTTATCCAGTAGAGGAACACACTGGCTCTTTATCCAGTAGAGGAACACACTGGCTCTTTATCCAGTAGAGGAACACACTGGCTCTGTATCCAGTAGAGGAACACACTGGCTCTTCATCCAGTAGAGGAACACACTGGCTCTTTATCCAGTAGAGGAACACACTGGCTCTTTATCCAGTAGAGGAACACACTGGCTCTTTATCCAGTAGAGGAACACACTGGCTCTTTATCCAGTAGAGGAACACACTGGCTCTTTATCCAGTAGAGGAACACACTGGCTCTTTATCCAGTAGAGGAACACACTGGCTCTTTATCCAGTAGAGGAACACACTGGCTCTTTATCCAGTAGAGGAACACACTGGCTCTTTATCCAGTAGAGGAACACACTGGCTCTTTATCCAGTAGAGGAACACACTGGCTCTTTATCCAGTAGAGGAACACACTGGCTCTTTATCCAGTAGAGGAACACACTGGCTCTTTATCCAGTAGAGGAACACACTGGCTCTTTATCCAGTAGAGGAACACACTGGCTCTTTATCCAGTAGAGGAACACACTGGCTCTTTATCCAGTAGAGGAACACACTGGCTCTTTATCCAGTAGAGGAACACACTGGCTCTTTATCCAGTAGAGGAACACACTGGCTCTTTATCCAGTAGAGGAACACACTGGCTCTTTATCCAGTAGAGGAACCACACTGGCTCTTTATCCAGTAGAGGAACACACTGGCTCTTTATCCAGTAGAGGAACACACTGGCTCTTCATCCAGTAGAGGAACACACTGGCTCTTTATCCAATGTCAGTCATTTACCACCAGACTTTCACATCCCCCTTCTGTGGGTTCTCCATGATACAATGTGTTCCACTGGAGAACATACTGGAACCTAACTTTCTTACTGTCTGTACTGTTTCATTTAGCACACTGAATATGGCCTATACACATGTACCTTAGTACAGCCTGCCTTGTATCTATGTACTGTATGTCCTGATGCACCGCGGCAGGCAGCCCTCTTACTAATGGCCCTAAGGGGAAAATTAAGTGGAAGTGAAGCCTCTCTGTGCCCCATGTCAGATTTCCTCCCCATAACATAACAATAGCTCCCTGAAGTTGGCGGTTTCCTGGTTTCCTGTCATGTAAGACGAATGAATGACACACCTCATGGAGAGGCTGTGTGGGGAATGCCAGGTTTCCAATCCCTTCCCAATTGTCTCGAGGTACACACACGCTGGGGATCCTAATATGTTCCCTCCAACAAGGACTGACAGGAGGGTTAAACAGCTGTGTTTCTCTGTGGAGAAGCTGTTTTATTTGAACACAAACAGTGCTTTATGTTTAGTTAGAGGTTCAAGCAGCGAAGCTGGGTGAAACCCTATTGTATTTGTTGCCGTTATTATTCCGGTTCTCTGCGGATTTGGTGGAAAAAAATCAAATTCCCGTGAGATGGTAAGGCCTAGTAGGGTGCAACTTGCATGATGGTAAAGGCTGATGGGCCACACCCTCTCCTGCCATGTCAATTGGCCAGATGGTGGTGCTATAACAGGCAATTGAAAATGCAAACTTTGAAAGGTCATGCCTCTCACCCCGTTTGACCTAGAGTCATGAAATTTGGTACATGGGTCCCTCTCCTCACAAGGAACAAATTAGCTTCAAAGACCCATAAGATCCGCCATGATGGATTTTACACCATTTTGAATTTTGTGAAAAACACTTAAAACGCTGCTCCTCTGGCATCGATTGATGATCTGCACATAACTTGATATATAGCATATTTGGACCAAGATCTCTCAAAGCAATATTTTCCAGGCTAGTATCTCAAACAACATGGCTGCTACTCACCAATAAACATTCACTTGGGCGTGGTCTGGCACATAAATGCATAGAAATCCAACATGGTTATTTGAATTGTAATATAACTTGCTATACATGTTCAAGCACATTAACATTGACCACACGGTGACCCTATAACGGGCACATATTTATATATCTTGTTCTGTTTGACTCAGAGTCATGGAATTTGGCACACATGCTCAGGGAGGTGAGGCTAGCTAATCTGTAGAATATGGTTCTGTTTGGCCGCATGGGGGCACTGTTAGACAGGAACAACAATTAATGCAATCTCATTTGCTTATAGCAGCCATATTGTTTGAGCTAGTCCTAGGGCTATGTAAATCCATTTCAGACTTCCCAAGCGTAGGCATTCATTCCATTGGAAGAGTCATGAGAAGAGTGACAGATTTACCCCCTAGTCATAAAGTATTATGTCACTGCCAGCTCAACTCCTAACTGTAGATCTCCCTCCAGTCCCAAGCCTCTCTCTTTGTGTTTGTGTCCTGTTCACGTTTCCAGTATCCTCTCTCACCTAAGTGACGTGGAGAAGCTATAGAGGCTGCAATCTGCCTGTTTAGGGTTGGGCTCCAGATTAGCCGTGACTCAGCAAGACATGAGAAGACTTGGCGGTGTTTGTTTGTGTGTGTGTGTAGGTGTGTGTGTAGTGAAACAGTGACACCGCCTGTGTGTGTGGGAAGGGAAAAGGGGCATCATACAAAGAAAGTCTCTCCTGCCCTCTCTGGTCCTTTGGTGTGTGGGTGTGTGTGTGGTGTTTGTGTGTGTGTGTGTGTGTTTGGGGGGTTGGTTTTGTGTTTTTTTGGGGGTTTTCTGCATATGTTTTTTGTGTTTTTAGTAAAAAACCTAGACCAGAGAAAATTAAGTTTTGGCCAACAAGAGACGGGCGGGGTTTTCCAACTCTGTTTATTTTTTTTTTGGACTTTTTTCGGGATGTGCCCCCAAACCTAAAAAGGTGGGCCACTGGGGGAAGGGAGAGGCAACCTTTATAGTTTGGGTTTTCCTGTTTGGTTTTGGGAAAGGTTTTTCCCCCCCCCCAGAAAATTGGGAGTTATTTACACACCATTCTTTTTCTAATGTAACCTGTTCTTTAAAAACCCCTCGAATGTTCCCCCACCTCCTTGGAAAGGAAGGAAGGGGAAAAAGGGGGGAGGGGGAAAAAAAACATAATATAAAGAAAGACAGAAGAAAATAATAAAAAAAAAAATTTAAATATTTATTTATTTTTTTGAAAAATCCGCCCTTCTCTCTCCTCCTCTCTCTTCCTTTTTCCCCTCTTCTCTCCCTCTCCCTTCTCTCTCCCCTTTTCCTCTCTCTCCTTCTCTCTCTCTCTCCTCCTCTCCTCCTCTCTCTCTCCTCTCTCCCTTCTCTCTCTCCCCCGTTTTTCCTCCTCCTTTTTTCCTCCTCCTCCTTCCCCCTCTCCCTCCTCCTCCCCTTTCTCCCCCAACTTTTTTTCCCTTTTGTTCTTTTACCCCTTTTTAAAAATTTGTTAAAAAATTAATTATTCACTCCCCAAAAATCCCCCAAAATAAAAAAAACCCCCGGTTTTTTTGAAATTTTTGAAAATTATTAAAGATAAAAAACAGAAATACCTTATTTACATAAGTATTCAGACCCTTTGCTATGAGACTTGAAATTGAGCTCAGGTGCATCCTGTTTCCATTGATCATCCTTGAGATGTTTCCACAACTTGATTGGAGTCCACCTGTGGTAAATTCAATTGATTGGACATGATTTGGAAAGGCACACACCTGTCTATATAAGGTCCCACAGTTGACAGTGCATGTCAGAGCAAAAACCAAGCCGTGAGGTCGAAGGAATTGTCCGTAGAGCTCTGAGACAGGATTGTGTCGCGGCACAGATCTGGGGAACAGTACCAAAACAATTCTGCAGCATTGAAGGTCCCCAAGAACACAGTGGCCTCCATCATTCTTAAATGAAAGAAGTTTGGAACCACCAAGACTCTTCCTAGAGCTGGCCGCCCGGCCAAACTGAGCAGTCGGGGGAGAAGGAGACTCTTATCTCCCTCACTAACTTTAAGCATCAGTTGTCAGAGCACCTTACCGATCACTGCACCTGTACACAGCCCATCTGAAATTAGCCCAGCCAACTACCTCATCCCCATATTGTTATTTATTTTGCTCATTTGCACCCCAGTATCTCTATTTGCACATCATCTCTTGCACATCTATCATTCCAGTGTTAATACTAATTGTAATTATTTTGCACTATAGCCTATTTATTGCCTTACCTCCATAACTTGCTACATTCACACACACTGTATATATATTTTCTGTTGTATTTTTGACTTTATGTTTTGTTTACCCCATATTTAACTCTGTGTTGTTGTTTTTATCGCACTGCTTTGCTTTATCTTGGCCAGTTCGCAGTTGTAAATGAGAACTTGTTCTCAACTGGCTTACCTGGTTAAATAAAGGTGAAATAAAATAAAATAAATAAATAAAGGACCTTGGTCAGGGAGGTGACCAAGAACCATATGGTCACTCTAACAGAGCTCCAGAGTTCCTCTGTGGAGATGGGAGAACCTTCCAGAAGGACAACCATCTCTGCAGTACTCCACCAATCAGGCCTTAATGGTAGAGTAGCCAGACGGAAGGCACTCCTCAGTAAAAGGCACATGACAGCCCACTTGGAGTTTGCCAAAAGTCGCCTAAAGGACTCTCAGACCATGTGAAACAAGATTCTCTGGTCTGATGAAACCAAGATTGAACACTTTGGCCTGAATGCCAAGCGTCACGTCTGGAGGAAACCTGGCACCATCCCTACGGTAAAGCATGGTGGTGGCAGTACATGCCGTGGGGACGTTTTTCAGCGGCATGGACTGGGAGACTAGTCAGGATCGAGAGAAAGATGAACGGAGCAAGGTACAGAGAGATCCTTGATGAAAACCTGCTCCAGAGCACTCAGGACCTCAGACTGGGGATGAATGTTCACCTTCCAACAGGACAACGACCCTAAGCACACAGCCAAGACAACGCGCAGGAGTGACTTCGGGACAAGTCTCTGAATGTCCTTGAGTGGCCCAGCCAGAGCCCGGACTTGAACCCGATCTAACATCTCTGGGGAGACCTGAAAATAGCTGTGCAGAAACGCTCCCCATCCAACCTGACAGAGCTTGAGAGGATCTGCAGAGAAGAATGGGAGAAACTCCCCAAATACAGGTGTGCCAAGCTTGTAGCGTCATACCCAAGAAGACTCGATGCTGTAATCGCTGCCAAAGGTGCTTCAACAAAGTACTGAGTAAAGGGTCTGAATACTTATGTAAATGTTATTTTATTAGCAAACATTTCTACAAACCTGTTTTTGCTTTGTCTGGTGTGTGGAAAAAAACAATTTAATAAACGTAACGTAACAAAATGTGGAAAAAGTCAAGGGGTCTGAATACTTTCCGAAGGCACTGTATGTCCTCACACATACGCACACACACCGGCACACTCTTCAGAACTACCGTTGTTATGGTCAGTTGTATGGGTACTTTATGAAACGCCATGTTTTTCACATTTGCTTATTTCTGAGTATACCTTTTGGACATGTCTATTTCTGTTTTTTATTTGTGTAGAAAGTGTGTGCTTTCGTTCATGGGTCTCAACGTGTGTGTGTGTGTGTGTGTGTGTGTGTGTGTGTACTGTTCTACCGCATGTGTTTGTGTGGTCTAGGAGTGTCTCTTTTTTTTCTTCTGACAGTGGTGATATTGAGAGCCATCTTGTCTGATCTTGTCGAGGGAGCATTAGCTCTGTTAGTCTGTTTCACCAAACTTTCACCAGTGCCACCACACATCAAAGACATACCCCACCCTCATCTCTCCTCCTCCACCCTCCTCTCCCCTCCTCCACCCTCCTCTCCCCTCCTCTCCCCTCCTCCACCCTCCTCTCCCTCCTCTCCCTCCTCCACCCTCCTCTCCCTCCATTCTCTGACTGGAAGCATTATTAAAAGAGTAAATAAACAACAAGCAAGAATGTAAACAGGACGGCACAATGTCAAAGACACTCCTCAGAGCAGAGGCACGCTGGGCTCATGCACCTGCCTATCAGTAACCAATCAACCCTGTCTCACTGACAGACTGCTGCTTACACAAAATACATGGGAATACAATAAGATTAAATCAATTAAGATTCTTCTTCTCCTTTAAGATTAAATGAATGAAGATTCTTCCTCCTCTTCCTTCTCTTTATTATTATTACATTAATGTGCCAGATACACACACTTCACAGATACACACACTTCACAGATACACACACTTCACAGATACACACACTTCACAGATACACATTTCACAGGTGCACACTTCACAGATACACACACTTCACAGATACACATTTCACAGGTGCACACTTCACAGATACACACATTTCACAGATACACACATTTCACAGATACACACACTTAATAGATACAGACTTCACAGATACACACACTTCACAGATATACACATTTCACGGATACACACACACTTCACAGATACACACATTTCACAGATACACACATTTCACAGATACACACATTTCATAGATACACACACACTTAATAGATACAGACTTCACAGATACACACACTTCACAGATACACGTTTCACAGATTCACACGTTTCACAGATACACACATTTCACCGATACACATACTTCCAAGATACACACACTTCATAGATACACACATTTCAGTATGATTTTTAAAAAAAATGTATGCACTCACTAACTGTAAGTCGCTCTGGATAAGAGCACCTGCTAAATGACTAAAATGTAAAATGTAAAATTTCACAGATACACACTTAACAGATACAGACTTCACAGATACACACACTTCACAGATACACACTTCCCAAATACACACACTTCACAGATACACATTTCACAGATACAGATACACGCTTTACAGATACACACTTCACAGATATGTTTTTTACAGTAACACATACTAGGTCTGTATATTCCACCCCCATATGGGTCAACCGACCGACGCTTCGTTGCTGCTGCCACGTCATTTCAGTATTAGTTCTATGAGTGTAGTGTCACCGAAGGGGCCATGGGGAGGAGATGTTTTCAGACTGCACTGTGAATGGAAAGCACTACCGATGTTCTCTGAAGTCTCCAAGTTTTTTGTCTTTGGCGCACTTTGTCACAGGTGCAGCTCTCAGTGTGTGTGTAACGATTTCTTGTCCCCAGCTTTCGTTTCGGTTCTTTGATGTTTCAGTAAGGGAGTTTTGACCCACCTTTTAGCTCTAGGCCTCAACCCCTTTGTCCCGTGCCTCCCCCTGTTTTACCACACCATGCAGGAAGTTTCTCTGTAGTCTCTCGCCCTTTATCCCTTAGAACTCAGAAGTCATTTGTAAATCCCCCTATCTGAATCATATTGAAGGAATGGCAGGAAGGTAAAGGAGACAGGCAAGCCATTTAGATGACGTTCCAATCTTACAGAGAAAGACAGAGGAGTTCCCATAACCATTCATTTAAGTACTTTTAAGCATAGGCTTATACCAGTTGTTTTGATATGATCTATTTCCATAAGAGTTCTTCCCTCTTTTAATGCAAATGATGCCAGGGGTCTCCCTGAAAGCTTCCGTTGAGTCATAAATTCTAACAATGTTGTTGATGTACAACTGACCTCCCACTTGTCTCCCTCTATCCCCCCCCCACCACCCCCCCACCCCACACACACTCTCTCTCGCTCTCTCTCTCTCTTTCCCTCTCTCTCAGGGTCCACACATAGCATCAGTGACCCTGGCAGCGTATGAATGTGGTTCAGTGGATTTCCCGGAGCCCCCCTACCCCGAGCAGATCATCTGCCCCCAGGAGGAGGTGCTGTTGGGGGGGACGGCAGCAGCTGTACAGGGAGGCATCTCCCTCTGGACCATTGTCTCCAAGGTCCGCTTAGAGGCCTGCATGTGGGTGAGTCTATTCTACATACAGTCTTGTCACAGTCAACACACAGTCAACTGCACAGCCCATGACACATAGTCGAGACATGCAGTCTACACACAGTCAAAGCACGCAGACGACATGCGCAGTCTCCTACACAGTCTTTTATACACAGTCTTTTACACACAGTGCATATGCCCCTCAACTGGGGTTTAACTATCCATATTGGTACATGTCAGGTTCACTGGCACTAATGCTCTATGATCAGTAGGCCTCAAAGAGTTAGAAGTAAAATAACATTGACTGTTGGTCTATTTAAAAATAAAAATACTATTTCTAAAACATGTGATTGCTAAGTGAGATGTCATTGACAATTCAATACAACAATACCCACTGATGGATCGGAAAACCCCAGCCTTTTACGGTGAATTTCCCCTCAACACTGCTGGTGGTTTCACACCTCTAACCAAACATAGCGGTTAGGTACTGGGGACATGAGACTGACAGTTGATAATCCTTTACTGCTGTCACACGCACGCACGCACGGACACACACACACACACACACACACACAGACACACACACAGACACACACACACACCACTGTCACACACACCACTATCACACATAGCCCTGTAACTAGAGCCAGCCCCTGGCGCAAGTAGAGGGTAACCCTTCACCAGATACTCTGGTTGCATTCTGACTCAGGTGGCCTGGTGGCTATGGTGACCACTACAATTACTCAGCCATGACATAGAGTTGCCATGGTACTACCACCACCACGCTCTGCATCAAAAGCCTATTAACCCTCACACGCATACATCTAACTGGTAACTGTCTGTATCAGCTTCCCAATGACGACCAGCAGTTCTCTTCCTGTATTCTCAGCATTCACAGCTCTTTTACAGAGAGTCAGGCAGCGTCAGGCCCTTTTTTCAGAGCGTCCCTCTCAGTGTGAAACTGTCCCTACTGAAAAACACAGATGGTTAACAGACAGAGAAGTCTGAGAAGAGAGAACTCATCTCTATGACCTGTGGTGAACTGGGGATTTTTATGTTCCTCTAAGCTGACCGAAAATGAGAAGTAGAGGATGTTATCTCACTCTTGTTAATTCACATTTCACACGTTACTGACTGTGGGGAACAGAGTACCTCTACTACTACTACTTTAGTACTGCTGCTGCTGGGGGCCTTTCCCTGGAACAGAGTGTGTGTGCATGTGTGTGTGTGTGTGTGTGTGTGTGTGTGTGTGTGTGTGTGTGGTGTGTGTTTGTGAACTAGGGGTATGCCATACAATCCCCTGGCCTCGCCCCCAGATGCTGGCACAGCCCAAAATGCTGCAACACCTCTCCCCCTCCCCTCTCTGTGCCACCCCATCCACCGCTGCAGGGTCTAAGTGTTCCACTTCAAAAAACACGGCGCAGGTGGCTGTAGTCTGGCACACACACAAACACACACACACACACACACACACACACACACACAAACACACAAACACACACAGTAGTGCAGTGCCCTGGAGATTAGGGCACGTCTGCATTATGAGCAAACTGGCAGGTTTCATCAAAGACTGCTGTGTTGACATGGAACAGGATGTCCAGATTAAGTATCCCATCACCCCCTCCCTCACCCATCCATCCCTCCATTCCTCACCCCCTCCCTCACCCCACCCCTCCCTCCCTCTCTCACCCACCCTACCCCTCCCTCACCCCATCTCTCCCTCCCTCACTCCACCCTACCCCTCCCTCACACCACCTTCCCTTCCCCCACCTCACTGCATAACCTCCCTCCTTCCCTCACCCCCCTCACCCCACCCCTTCTTACAAGTTTCTCCGTGCCTGGAAACATTACCATAATGAGCTGTGAGCAATTCCAAAGCACTCGTTTTCTCTGCAGGTTTTTCATTGTGTTAATTAAGTCTGTTGCTCCACGCTCCCTCCTCATCCTCGTGTTCCTGGAGGAATGAACCCACTGAACCTGCCTGGGATGAGGATTTGTTTCACTCAAATCTCTTCCGTCTTTCTTCACAATTCGGCGAGTGATACCGTCTTATAATTGAAAGCTCTTTAGGATGTTGGATATTGATATAGTTTGATCCAAAAAGCTCTTTGAGGCCTAATAACACCTTAATTGACCCGACGAATTTTGAAATTAATTTTTTTAATCATGTAAGCCAATGTCGTAGGTGTATTGTATTATACTTGTATTGTGAAAGGTTGTGGTTGTGTGTGTCTGTGTGTGTGTGTATGTCTGTGTGTGTCTGTGTGTATGTGTATGTGTGTGTGTGTGTATCTGTGTGTGTGTATAGGGAGCGGGCACAGCCATCGGGGAGCTTCCTCCCTACTTCATGGCGCGGGCAGCGAGGCTGTCTGGAGAAGAGCCTGATGATGAAGAGTATGAAGAGTTTGGAGAGTTGCTGGAGCAGGCAGAGACTCCACAGGTAGCCTCTCATCCTTATTCCAATCTCTATCTGTACTTTTCTCTCTCCTTTTTCTCTATCACTCCTCTCTCTCTCTATCTCATCCTTCCCCCCCTCTGTGCTCTTCTCTGTCTTTTTCTGTCTCTCTCTCTTCTCTGACAGAGATTGAGCAGGTGTCACACACCCTTTTATCTCTCCTCCTGACTTCCCTTTCCATCTCTGCTTTCTCTCCTTCTCCCTTTTTCTCTCTCTTTTTTTTCTGCCTTCTCTCCTCATTGTCTAGCAACCTTTGTGCAACCTTTGGTGAAACAAAACGGTCACAGTGTATACATGTGTCATACCAGCGGAAACCTCTTGGATGTGTATGCACGCACACGCACAAACACACACACAGAGCGGAGCGGCGTGAGTTGAGCCCTGACAGAGAGAAGTTCATCTCATTAACTCCCTTCAAGCTCGTTCCCTTCTCTCTCGCTCTCTCACACACACACACACACACACACACACACACACACACACACACACACACACACACACACACACACACACACACACACAAACAACAAACAAACAAACAAACAAACAAACAAACAAACAAACAAACAAACAAACAAACAAACAAACAAACAAACAAACAAACAAACAAACAAACAAACAAACAAACAAACACATACACACGTTAGCTAACCCATTCCCAGTTTCCTACCTCAGGCCTGAAGCAGTCATGTGCTGCTGCCTTTTACAATGCTCTGCTCGGACTAGGTGGGTAGCAATGCCATCAAGGGCAAAGCCATTGTTTTCAAGGTGCCTGCATTGGCTTTGGTAATACCATGACAAACAGTATTTTCATTTCAAAATATGCTCGACAAATACTTTGACCATGACAACTCATAGTAAATATAATGTTCCTGTGTGAATGAAATAATAGACAAAATGTCAGTTGCTTTGTCCCTCCCTAATCTTAGCCGGTCTTCTCTGAGTGCACTTTAATCCTAAAGATTATATTTCACAATGTCAGTTAATGTCATGAGCATTTCAACACAATACAGGTCAAACAATGGGGGCAGTTAGGAAAACGGTTTGGAGAAGCCAGTGCCAAAAAATGACCCTATTCTCCTTGATGTTGGAAAATAGACTAGCCAAAGGTTTGTTCTATTCAAATTTAAATCAGACATTTAGATCAAGTAGTGGTTGACATGACTTGAGGGGCTTTAAGGGTTCGTTAAGTAGTGATTTAATGAGTCTTTATACTATGAGCTATTGATAGTACTCTGAGCACACTCTGGTCTTAATAGATAGACTCACATTATAAGCTCACACTCTGTACAAAACTGTACATTGATTACTTTTTGCCGATACAACCAAAAAAGACATTGACGTTGAACATCAGGTACATTGACATATGATGTTGATTCCATGTGTTTTCATCCGGTGGTCAGCAGGGTGTGACAGGTACTGGTGGTCTGATAGAGTGGGTGGGTGCTCCCTTGCACCGTAATGATGGGAGTACCTACTGTCATGTTTAGTTTATCACTCATGCCATGGGTATCTGCAGATGGCACTGTATCCAGCGTCCCTTGGCCCTCAGACCACATGTGGGAGTCTGGAGCTCTGACATCATTCGACACACCGATAATGTCCCGCTCGGCTCTCCACCAAAACGAACGACCGAAGAGAAAGCGAGAGGGAGCGGGAGAAAGCAAAGGAAAAGAGAGGGGACGTGTGAGAGAAAGACAGATGCTCCGTTGTGGAGAGTCACGTTTTGTCTTTCAACACGTTCATCTTGGCCGCTTTGATTCGTTCTAGTTGTTTCTTCTTCTTTTTCTCCGCCGTAGCTTTGACGTGTCCGAGGCCTCAGGGAAGGCTTGTTGGTTGTTTGTTTCGCATCCTCAGAGAGAAAGGTTGAACAAGTGTCACCCACCACAGAGCTGCTGCTGCCTCATGGCTGCTGGGTCTGAATTAGTGCTCTGAGGCTCTTTCACTCTCCCTCTACTGCTCTCTGTCTCTATCTCTGTCACACACTCTCTATTTCTGTTGATATCCCTCCCTCCCTCTCTCTCTCTTTCTCTCGCTCTACTTGTTCTGTCGGTTTCTGCTGATATCTTTACGGTGTGGTCTGGTCACTGTGTGTGTGTGTGTCTGTGTGTGTGGACAGCATCTGGCAGCAGGTTTCTCACACCACAAAGCATTGCTGAGCTGCAGGAGGCGGAATACTTATTTTCCTTTCTTCTCTCTCCGTCTATCACCTACAACGGGGTGTGCATTGTTTCACTGGCCGAGAGAGAGCGAGAGAGAGAGAGAGACACCGCTTATTGCATTACATGCTTGTTATACTGTACATTCTTAAAGGTAAACATCACAGCGATTTTGGACATCTCGTTAAAGTGGATTTATATTGCATTGTTATTCTCTGTTATTTTAACCAAGATTAGAATAGTGATTATAGAAAATAGAGTTTGATTGAATGGTAACGTGGGAGAGAAGGTTTGTGATCGGATGTGTTGAGTTTGTATGTTTGCAGAGAGTAAATTAAACTGATGATGTATGAGTGTGATGTGTCTTTGGGCACCACAGCGGGTTAGAGATGCTGACTCTCTCCTCTCTTACTCTGAGGTCATAGGGGTCAATGTGGCAGGAGCTTGACTTAAACCCAGGGGCATTTCTCAGAATGCGTACATGCCAACTTCCTGCCGCAAGCAGGAGCACATGAGTGATGGCAGAAGAACAAAGTTTCCCCCCCTTCATGACGGCTATTCAAGAATGATGAAGTCATGACTTTACTAAGCAGGTCCAGACGTTGATGTCATGAAAATCTGAATTTTTAAAACATTTGTTTGAAAATTTGGATGATACTTATGTTCTGAAAACTAATCCTGGAATCCTCTCTAGATGAACAACGTCCAAAAAGTGGCGTGGTGATTCAGTGGTTTCCCTGAAGTGCTTTATGTTTTTTTAAAATTTTTATATTGTAATTTTTTTTTTAACCTTTATTTAACTAGGCAAGTCAGTTAAGAACAAATTGTTATTTACAATGACGGCCTACACCGGCCAAACCTGGACGACGCTGGGCCAATTGTGCGCCGCCCTATGGGACTCCCAATCACGGCCGGTTGTGATACAGCCTGGAATCGAACCAGGGGGTCTGTAGTGACGCCTCAAGCACTGAGATTCAGTGCCTTAGACCGCTGCGCCACTCGGGAGCCCATTTTGGCCGGCATGGAAAGGGTTAACCAGCACTGTGAATTCTTGATTGCCAACTCCCAGGATTGTATCTCCTGTATCCTGAATAAGAGCCGTCTGCGTTGGGCTGGGCTTGTGCCCTCCCCCCTGCCTCCCCCTGGCCTACTACACTCCACTCAAAGGCTTTCTGTGCTGTGGTTTGCCCAGCCCCGTCACGTGACTTCTCTGAAAATGCCCCCTCCCTCCTCCTCCCTCTTTATTTCCAGTAAACTGTTTGAAAGGAGGGGGTGAGTCAGAGTAAAACCAGCTTCCCTTCAACCACAGCTTGTTAAAGAATTTGTCAACGTGGACTCAGGAGCACTTTTTTTTTGTCTCAATAGATTTGAATTTTGTAGAAGGGACTATGGGGCTGGGGTTGGGTTGCATCAGGAGCCTTAACCACTCTGCTTCCTGTGCCTGTGTGTGTGTGTGAGAGAAGGGAACGGGCTTGTGGGGAGTTAATGAGATGAACTTTAGCCGTCTCGCCGTCAGGGCTCAACTCGCGCCGCTCCGCTCTGGAGATGTGTCCTCCTTTCTCTGTGTGTGAAAGAGTTTCATTCAGGAAAAAGAGAGAGAGAGAAAGAGAGAGAAAAAAACTGTGCATGGGTGTTGATTTTTCCTTAACTGACACTTAACTTTTCCAGATGCACATTGCTTTGTCGTCTGCCTATTTTGAACTCCTTACTCCCATCACGTCTACAAAAGTCTCCACCCACATGTTTTAAACCTTTCAGTTCATCATAAAGCATTTAGAATAGGGTTGCTATGTCATTACATGTGAGGAGGGAAACAGTGAACTCTTTTCCTTTTTTCCCACTGCCTATTTGCGTCAACCTTCGTCATCTCTCTGGCAACAGTAACCATTGGTATTCAAACTATTATGTTAAACATGGTGCTCATTGATGCCCTTTGTGTGGAAATGTTGTGGAACAGTGAATATAAAATGTGTTCAGATAGGCTCTGATAATGTAAAATTCTTAGAACCTGGATTCCATGTAATCACCATGGTGTTTGACATTGTTTCATTACTAAGAAGTCCCCGACAGTCACTCAACCTTGGGAGACCTACTGTACTTTCAGACATTACCCTAACGAGGTCTAATATTCCATGTTTTTTTGCATAAATGTAGATCGCAAAATAAGAAGCAAACTCCATAGCAGGTGATGGGGCCACTAACTGTAATAGCCTTAACATATAAATTATAGAGCAGACGTATGATTTTTACTTCACACTGTAGGCATCATCTTGATGTGGGGGCATATTGGGTACAGAGTGCTGAGTAAAGAGATGGAGAGCCAAAATTCTGGAGCCATGTCCCAATGGTTTTAATGACGCTGCACCCTTGACAAGATCTCCAAAATGTAATTGCTGGTAAGCCCTGCCCTGGGGGATAGCGCGCCGCAAGGGGGATGGGGACGGGAGGGAGGCAGCCGTGGGTGGAAGCCTGGCCAAGATGGTGATTTTCCATGAACTGCGTACAACACACATTGTGTGTGGTGTCTGGATTTCTGAACACTGGTCATGTAAGATGGACAATTTTGTGGTCGAGAAGGTACACACGGGGAGAAAAGGGGAGAAAAGGGGAGCGTCCCGCTAGTAAATCACAATGTCACGTGTAAACACACAGTATTCCTCCCCACTGGGACTTTCATTTCATTCAGTGGTGAGGTAGCTATTTTCCTTTCACTCATCCATACCAGTCAAGTGAGTGGAAATCCAGGACTCCACTAACTTGATAAACTATACCAATGCAAATATCATATTTCATCTAATAAATGTGACTCATTGACTAAACTATGCTGATTTCCCTAACAGTTATTAGTTATTGAAGCATAAATCCTCTACTCTACTCCTGTGGTTGTCAGGTGTTTGTGGTCAACAGACGGTCCAGAGTCGTTCAGCTGTAAACCATACACATTCCTTCCCCCAGACAACCAGCTCAGTCTCCAAGATTTAGAAAGGGGAAAAAAAACAGTGAAAAAAAGAACAAAAAACAGAATAAAGAATCTGGAACAGAAGGCTAGAATTAGAGAAGCAGGATTATCCTTGTGGAAAGCTCCTGTGATTGGATAGAATCTGAGGGAGAAATTCAAAATGTGAGCCAATCAGAGTGGATGTCAGTTGGGCCCCCCTCTTTTAGTCTACTCCCTATGTCTCAAAAATGTAATGTGGGCCGGCTCCTACTCTTGAAGAAATGCCACCATTACTCGACTGCTTTGTTGACCATATTAGGCATGATCTTCTTACTACCCCAACCCCAGCCTCCTCCCAGTCAAGTTAAACCTCTCAAGTTTCAATTTACCGGTATGTGTGTGAAACAAAGGTGAAAGTCATATAGATAACATTTTCACCCATAAAAGTAGTTGTCTTATTGTTTGGTCATTGTGAATAAGCAGTTTTCATCATGCATTGATGTTTAATCAATTTATTGTAGAACATTCAGTATATTGGATCAGAATTGCCAATTCAGGGGGGCACATCCTATCTGATTTGAAATTGCAGTTTAATTTTGCTAATAATTATAGCAATTAAACATATGTAATGTTAACTACCATGAAACAGTAATAATATGGTACAGTCATTTGAAAGCTTGCAGTTTGAGTTCTGGTCAGTTAAGAGTTGTTTATGCATCATATCAGATCTAGCCTGAGAGATGATGTAAAGGTTAGTCTAAAAGTTAGTGGATGATTCCAGTCATTCCTCTAAAAAAGAAACATGTTTATTCTGGTTTTATATCTTTACATGCATTCAGTACCATCTCATGTACAGATAATACCAGTCAATTCGGAAATACCATTCTAATGCATGACGTTCTTTGGTAGGAGCTATACTATATCAACACTTTAGTAAAATGTATTTGTGCTATACAACACATTGTTTAGAGAAGTAAAACATGTTCCTACAGCTCACAAGTCAAATGTGTTTTACATTTTATATCAAAGGAAAGATGTGTTGAGTTTAATATTGATGTATTCTAATGTCATTACCATTGATTAGAACATAAAAGGGATAAAGTGTTAGATATGCACTTAAACACACACATATTTTGATCAAGACTTCATATCAAAGTTTCAGGCTTGGAGCAATCAATATCTACAGAATAGATTTTTTGAGTCCAGTCAATAAAAGTCTATATATACGTTTTGCAATATTAAATACAAATCTATACATATAATAGTGACAATACCCTCAACATGAGTTCACAAATTAGACACAGTGTGTTTTTACATTTCATTGATATTTAATTTTTAATTCCCCTTAAATTGATATACCAACCTTACAGCATTGGTATAGTTAAATATCTGTAAAAAAACAACAACAATAATTTGACTAAAATCAAGACAAAATAAACACATCAGCACATGCATACAATTTGTATTGTTATCTCTAGTGGCATTATAATACAATCATCAGAAGTAGGACCAATTTACCGTAATCAATCCAGGATAATTACGCCATCCTTCCGTCACAGTTCCCAGAAATATTTTGAACTACATCAACAAGAGCTTAACCCTCATCTTCCCATCATAGGTATATTGAGGAAAAATCCATGTCATTGCTTTGAAAATAGCCTTTTGTTGAGTTGTCAGGAGAGATATGGGGGGGGCAGCAGAATTAGTAAGAATCTGTGAGTCATTGGAATGACCATGAAGTCTAGTCTTGTACTCACATCCCCAATGATATTGGATTAAAAACTGTCACCAGAGGTAAACTACAGTTAGGGGATGTGAATATATAATATCCCAGTATAAAAGGTGTTTGGATGTGTTTGCAGAGGGTGATTGTTCCAATTAGACAACTGACAGGACAATTGACTGTGTGCAGCATTTTTGCAGGGCTTAGAAAACTTTTTTGGTTAACAGAAATATTGATATATGAAGGAAAACTAATATTTAGATAATAGTGACTTGGAAAAATCTGTATGTCACAATATTGTTTTAAATAAATAGAAAGATGTCCTGTTGCCACAATTCAATATGTTAATTGTACATTTACTTCTTAGAAAAATAGGGTTACTTCATATAAACCATATTATTCGTTAATCAATAATCTGCTCTCTGATGTATTTGTGCATATAAAATGCCAGCATCCTTGTTTTCTATATATTTATGGTCAGTGTGTTAAATACAAAATATAAATGAGAAGAGATGCTAAAAAAGACAGCTGTTTGTCCTAATCCCATAGTAAATATATTTTCTATAGTGTATAAATCTTATGATATGCCCCATAATCTCACATTTTACTGTACTAATAGTAATGTTAAGTCTAAAATCTCCCCGAGCGTGTTTTAGTCTAATTTATTTATAATTTTAAAGACAGAAATGCATTACAACTCACAAATGACTGTCAGCACACCACCACAACGATATTTCCTTAGAGAGGATAAATTATAAATAAAGCCATTTTTAACTAATGGAATTCCTTAAAGACTATAACTCAGTTGTTTTTATTGGATCAATTTGATTTGTGTTGATTTTGCAAGGATCATCTCCGATTTATTTTAAGATTTGCTCCTTGTCCACAAGCCTAAAAAAAATGTGAAACCTTTTTCCTAATGATACAAGTTCCGAGATAAATTATAGAATGAACAATGTTTTGGAAGTATTTTTAGTAATATTACTACCATGTGTTAATCTGTGAGATATTTAAAATGGGCAGGAGATCATCCTTCTACCTTTAATCACCATAGATTAGTGAAAAGGTTATTGATTGCATAAATAGCTTTTGGTCTTCATTGCTGAGCAAAATTGAGTCTGCTCATATGAACATAATATGTTACTCATGAAAGATTCATACATTACATTACAATGATGAAATGTGAATAAGAATTACATGTTCTGTATAGAATGATCTGTTAAATATTTGCAATTATTTTTACTTATTTTCAGGACTTTGCCACCAGAGCAAAACTAGCAGTGCAGAAAATGGTTCAGAGAGTTGGATTCTTTGGAATTCTCGCCTGTGCCTCTGTAAGTGAAATCATATATTAACAGTATTCTGTTAAAACATTTTAATCTCCCCTATTAATGTCTGAAAATACAATAAAGTGACTACAGTTTAAATTCAAGCCTTAAAATAGCATTTCTGTGCATCATGAAACTGTCTGTCTATTTAAACTGAACTGCTGATTCTCAAACCAGAAGACAGAACAGATTATGAATAATGATTGTAAATATAAAGCTACCTATATTCTGTAGATTTTAGTCATTGTATTACTAATCTGTTAGATACCTCCAGTAAGTGCTAAATACCTCAACAAAACTGTGTTTGGACTGAAGCATATTGAATCATTGAGTCCCTTGCTCTTTTCTATAGAATATAGTAGTTTTCTCTATAATTGTTGTCAGTTGCCATGTTCATTTCTGATATTTAGTATATATTCTCTAGATATTTAGTATATATTCTCTGTTTCTCCAGATTCCAAATCCACTGTTTGACCTAGCAGGTATAACATGTGGCCATTTCCTTGTTCCCTTTTGGACCTTTTTTGGAGCAACACTAATTGGGAAAGCCATCATCAAAATGCACATTCAGGTGAGTTTACTATAGCACACGTTTTTACATAGATACCTTGCACACTTACTCTCTTGGATAAGAACGTTTTTACATAGATGTCTTGCACACACAGCTTACTTTTCTTACGTCTTTTTCTGTTCTGTCAAAGAGGCTACTTAAGGTCCATAGTTTGATATAACATTTTGACAAAGTAGCCTTTTTTCTTATAGAATTGATAGATCAAGTCTTCCGTTTATTTTGAATATGATTATGTCAGACATGATAGTGAAACCGTGCAGAGGATGAGGAGGGATCCTCCTGTACTGTACTCAACTGAGAGTGTAAGGAGGCCATTTTGGCCAGTGAAAGCAGGGGTCGGTCGTCCATTTTGTGAAAGCAGATGCTGCACTCAGGGATACATACTTTAGTAGGGAGAAGATATTTGAATCACTTGAGTATTTACTGTACTGAAAGGTGAATCTGTACTGTAAAGAAGTATACAGTGATGATTAGTGTGTCAAAGTTGAATCCGTTTTTCCCATGCATGCAAGGATTAAGGACTTCATCCACTTTGGGCCATGGTAGACAGTGTCTGTATGCTTAATTGATTAGACTTTCTAACTCCTCTATAAAGTATTTTATAAATAAATAAATAAAAAAGAACAATTAAACACCAATGGAGTAAGCTGATTTATTATGATTGACTATCTTACTAGTAATGTGAAGTTCACTTTCTGTAGATGCCCAAGCAGTGTGGGGCGGTGGCCATAGATCAAACCCTATTGTAGATAAACACTGTCTGTGATGATACAGAGAGTGGCGTGGGCAGCAACATCATGGAGCCGATTAAGCCTAGTGTCCCTTGGGCCGATGACTGGCAGGCAGGATCAGAGGTGTGTCGTTGTCTCCTCACTGCCTGACACGGCCAAGGCAAGCTTTACAATGATACACCACACTGACTGGAAACTGAACCAGGCTCACCATCATAACTGGCTGGGGTCAGCCTGGGATGTACAGTCGTGGTCAAAACTTTTGAGAATTACACAAGTATTGGTCTTCACAAAGTTTGCTGCTTCAGTGTTTTTAGATATTTTTGTCAGATGTTACTATATAATAATATATAATAATATATAATAAGCCATTTAGCAGACGCTTTTATCCAAAGCGACTTACAGTCATGCGTGCATACATTTCTTCTTTGTGTATGGGTGGTCCCGGGGATCGAACCCACTACCTTGGCATAACAAGCGCCGTGCTCTACCAGCTGAGCTACAGAGGACCATACTATGGTATACTGAAGTATAATTACAAGCATTCCATAAGTGTCAAAGGCTTTTATTGACAATTACATAAAGTTTATGCAGAGTCAATATTTGCAGTGTTGACACTTCTTTTTCAAGACCTCTGCAATCTGCCCTGACATGCTGTCAATTAACTTCTGGGCCACATCCTGACTGATGGCAGCCCATTCTTGCATAATCAATGCTTGGAGTTTGTTAGAATTTGTGGGTTTTTGTTTGTCCACCCGCCTCTTGAGGATTGACCACAAGTTCTCAATGGGAATTAAGGTCTGGGGAGTTTCCTGGCCATGGACCCAAAATGTTGATGTTTTGTTCCCCGAGCCACTTAGTTATCACTTTTGCCTTATGGCAAGGTGCTCCATCATGCTGGAAAATGCTGTTCTTGGATGGTTGGGAGAAGTTGCTCTCGGAGGATGTGTTGGTACCATTCTTTATTCATGGCTGTGTTCTTGGGCAAAATTGTGAGTGAGCCCACTCCCTTGGCTGAGAAGCAACCCCACACATGAATGGTCTCAGGATGCTTTACTGTTGGCATGACACAGGACTGATGGTAGCGCTCACCTTGTCTTCTCCGGACAAGCTTTTTTCTGGATGCCCCAAACAATCGGAAAGGGGATTAAACAGAGAAAATGACTTTACCCCAGTCCTCAGCAGTCCAATCCCTGTACCTTTTGCAGAATATCAGTCTGTCCCTGATGTTTTTCCTGGAGAGAAGTGGCTTCCTCGCTGCCCTTCTTGACACCAGGCCATCCTCCAAAAGTCTTCGCCTCACTGTGCGTGCAGATGCACTCACACCTGCCTGCTGCCATTCCTGAGCAAGCTCTGCACTGGTGGTGCCCCGATCCCGCAGCTGAATGAACTTTAGGAGACGGTCCTGGCGCTTGCTGGACTTTCTTGGGCGCCCTGAAGCCTTCTTCACAACAATTGAACCTCTCTCCTTGAAGTTCTTGATGATCCGATAAATGGTTGATTTAGGTGCAATCTTACTAGCAGTAATATCCTTGTCTGTGAAGCCCTTTTTGTGCAAAGCAATGATGACGGCACGTGTTTCCTTGCAGGTAACCATGGTTAACAGAGGAAGAACAATGATTTCAAGCACCACCCACCTTTTAAAGCTTCCAGTCTGTTATTCTAACTCAATCAGCATGACAGAGTAATCTCCAGCCTTGTCCTCATCAACACTCTCACCTGTGTTAATGAGAGAATCACTGACATGATGTCAGCTGGTCCTTTTGTGGCAGGGCTGAAATGCAGTGGAAATGTTTTTTGGGATTAACTTCATTTTCATGGCAAAGAGGGACTTTTCAATTAATTGAAATTCATCTGATCACTCTTCATAACATTCTGGAGTATATGCAAATTGCCATCATAATAACTGAGGCAGCAGACTTTGTGAAAATTAATATTTGTGTCATTCTGAAAAATGTTGATCGTGACTGTATTCAGTGAGATGAAACGTTTTGTGTTGCAGATAGAAATGTAATGAATATAGCTGACACAATGCTCTATACCTGACAGATCATGTCCTGTGTAAACAATACATTTCTATCTGAACGTTCTGAACAAACCCCTGTTCTCTCAGCTTCTCTTGTTCTTTCCCCACATTGTGTTAAGTCTGGAAAGAAAGCAGAAAAGTATATTCTATTAGACAGCACTTCTTTGTAGTTTTACGTTGGCAGTATACCGTACTGTACTGTACTGTACTGTGAGTCACAGAGCTGTATAGTTGTTGAACTTGTCATGTAAGAGAGGGAGTGGAGGGGCAATATGATAGATTGTAATGGTGAACAGGTGAACATTTGTGTGCCAAAGCAGGGGAACAATGCAATAGGGGGATTTGAGAGCTGGATAACTGGGTTGTACTGTACCTGCAGGTCAGGTGGTAAATTCAGGTTCACAATAACAATCTGTTCCTGTAAACAATGGCACATGAGTCCCCGAGGATCCAGACCTTTTCACAACTCTTGACCCTGTCATACTCTAAACTGGATCTGGTTTTCCTGACGGTACTTTGTGGTGATGTTTACTAGCTAGGTTTTGAAATATTGATAGGAACTATCAAAAATTATATAATAAAATCTAGGGAAGGTTTTATAAGTCCTAAATGTACAGATGTTTGATCACTGTTGTTGCAAGACATTTCCTGCATAGCAGGGAATGCAAACTTGCAGTGTATTCAAGGTTTAAAAATGCTTCTAAAGTTTGAAATTTCCACTTTAAAATTTCAGACTTGATTTGCCCTAACAAAAAATTTAACAGCCCCTACAAAAATGCCCATTAATTATAATCCATCAGTAAAATTTTTAAATGGCTCCGTTAGGTTTAGCTGAGCGGAGACATGAGTAAATGTCCTTCCATTAAGAAGTGGACAGTAAAAGCTCAGTTTCTGGTATTTTCGTTTACCTTCAGTACCCATGACACACAGTCTGGCCTAAACAATAGGAGAGAAGGGATCTCCGTTATGATAGCCTCCCTGACTTCCACGTTCCTACTAGTTTAGTTATGGGCTCTGTGTTTCAAGGGGTTTCAACAGACATGCACATTGCCATTATGAGAACCCACTCGAGTGTTGATTCCCAATATGAGTGGCACAATGGGGTAGTATGATCTTGTTAAACCTGTGCACTTCCCTCTAAGGTTTTCATGCATGAGTCCGAAGAGAAGAGGACAAAAACATATTTGTTAGACTTGGTCTTTGTTATGTGCAGCGGCAGCCATTTTGGCCTCTCCCAGACCCAGTGCTTCCTGGGTGCCTGCTCAGTGGGTGGCTGAACAGTAACTGAACGGTAAACAGAGCCGTAGGTCTCCCTGTAGCTCTGTTGGTAGAGCGTGGCGCTTGCAACGCCAGGGTTGTGGGTTCGTTTCCCACGGGGGGCCAGTATGAAAATGTATGCACTCACTAACTGTAAGTCGCTCTGGATAAATGACTAAAATGTAAAATGTAAAATGTAATGAGCCCCCTAATAGGGTCTGATTGAGCCATAATGGCCAACCCCCCACCCCCCGTCTCCTGTGTCCAGTCTGGGGCAATGAGTAAGCAGGAATTAGACTGAACAGGAACAAAACAAATCCCTCCTTTACTGTTATAAACGTCTGTCTGAGAAAAGTGACACATCTCCTCCTGATCCTCCCATTCCCCTCAATACCCCTCTCCACCTCCTACTACTCCTCCTCCCATCCCCCTCTTCAACTGTTATCTGTATCAGCCGTAACCCCACACCCTTCCTCATCCTCACCCCCTGAAGACAGCCTGCCTGTGTAGACTAATTTCTTGACCTGTGTCTGTGCGTTGGTTATAATGTGTCATAGGGGCTCAGACTTTTGTTCCTGGCCTTGATGACAAAGGGCCACTTCACGGCTGGTTTTGGGCTGACCGCCTGTCAGGCACCAAGTGTGGTTTTGGTTGACTACAGGGGGTCTAACAGAGGGGGTATTAATGATCAAACCATGAGTGTACTGCCCTGGCTGGGCCTGTATGTACCCCCCACGACCTCAAGGTCCACTGACTGACTGATTGTCTCTCTCTCTCTTTTTTCCTCACAGAAACTGTTTGTGATCATAACCTTCAGCAGGCACATAGTGGAGCAGATGGTGTCTCTGATCGGGTGAGTAACGTAGCCACTGAGTAATATTGGGCCTTCTCTGAAGAAATGGAAATGTGTGTGTGTGTGTGCATACGTGTGTGTGTGTGCCTGCTTGCGTGTGTGTGTCGTTTGTCACAGGGTGGAGAAGGAG